CTGGTTTTGTGCTTCCCAGATACCTGGTTTGCCACTGACACTGATCCAACAGGTCTCCTGGGATCTTACAAAGTAAGAACCCCCTCTCAAATGAGAGTAGAGCCTGGGAGTCATGCAGTGAAATTGGCAGTAGATTCAGAAAGCCACACTCAGTGCAGAAATCACTTAAAGGGACCCCTGACCATTAGGTCCAGTTGCGGATGACTCTGGGGTTGCGACGCTCATCTCGCTTTACTGGCTGAGGGAGCCGGCATACAGCTTCCGGGTCATGTGGCCAGCATGACTAAGCTGCTTCTGGCGAACCAGAGCAGCGCACGGAAACGCCATTTACCTTCCCGCCGGTGTGGTACCTATTTATCTACTTGCACTTTGACGTGCTTTCGAACTGCTAGGTGGGCAGGAGCAGGGATCGAGCAACGGGAGCTCACCCGGGGATTCGAACCGCCGACCTTCTGATCGGCAAGTCCTAGGCTCTGTGGTTTAACCCACAGTGCCACCTGCGTCCCTAGAAATCACTTGGGGCACTGGAATACCATGAGCGCTGGGTTTAAAATGAGATAAGATTAATTTGTGGAGGTTGGATCTAGTGGCCGATATCCATGAAAGGGGAGTGGGGGCCGGATTCTGATTCAGGACAGAAAGTCTGAATACCAGTTGCTGAGGGGAGGGGACAGGCAACAACAGCCCCTTATATTCACCTCTGTGGTTACCTGTTCCATTGCAGAGGATCTGTCATAGATGCTTTCAGAGTTGCTCAGTTGCTAGAGCCCTAGACTCTTGACTCTCGGTTGTGGGTTCGAGGCCCACGTTGGGCAAAAGATTCCTGCGTTGCAGAGGGTTGGACTAGATGACCCTCGGGTCCCTTCGAACTCTTGCAATTCTATGTGCCACTTCTCAGTGACGCTGATTACCACCCATTCAAGGATACAGTCCACTATAGAAAAGGACCTGAATATGGTAAGTCCAAAGTTCTGTTCTACCTATTTTGGGGAGATGCATCCAGGCATGTGACACACTTATGGGGTACCTACAGGTCATATGTCACTGGCAGCTGGTGGGGCCAAAGGCAAGGAGACGGGCAGTAGGTGGCGTTGGAGCAAACCAATTCTAATACTGCCCCCATCCTCCCCTCTGCTGAGTTCTCCAAGGGCGACCCAGAGACTTCAGAAGGAAACTGACGGGCAATGCCAACCCCTGGACAGGTTGTAAGTAAGGCAGGCAGGTGAGGACAAACCAATTGGTAAAGGTAAAGGGACCCCTGACCATTAGGTCCAGTCGTGGACAGCTCTGGGGTTGCGGCGCTCATCTCGCTTTATTGCCGAACCAGAGCAGCGCACAGAAACGCCGTTTACCTTCCCGCCGGAGCAGTACCTATTTATCCACTTGCACTTTGAGGTGCTTTCGAACTGCTAGGTTGGCAGGAGCAGGGACCAAGCAACGGGAGCTCACCCCGTCGCGGGGATTCGAACCGCTGACCTTCTGATCAGCAAGTCCTAGGCTCTGTGGTTTAAACCACAGCGCCACCCGTGTCCCTCCAATTGGTACATTTGCCCAAATAGACCAGCCTCCATGGTCAGATGTTGCTTTCTTGCTTTAGTTAGAGCAGAGCCACTTCGAAGGAGGCAAGGATGATATGCAGGCTGCAAGGTTGTCTCCTTTAACCTGGGAATAAACATCTGCTTCACTGCTAGTTTGGGCTGCATGAACAATGGTGCACTGAATGGAGATCCTTCTAACATTTTGCAGGATGCTAGTATGTGAATGTACCATGTTTGGTTGGGGGGGGCGGGGACAGGAACCTGGACAGAGAAGAGGTGGGTGTATCCTGGCAGAGAGTTCATGTCTGGCTGGGACCCTGAAGCAGAGCCCTGTGCAAACCGTAACATTTTGTTGCAGAGACGCCTGGCCTTTCCTATGCATCTATTGCAACGGGGATAGCCTGCCACCTAGTGCCAGCGTCTGTGATTGCATGACTGCATTAAGGCTGCACAGAAATAGTAACACGCTCGAGCCTGTGCTGCAATGAAATGTTGCAATCTGTGATGAGCGCTTCTGGCTAGGCTGCCAGCCATACTTGCCTCCTGACAGTCCATTCTACCCCTCTCCTTATTTTCCTTTCCAGATGACTGCTGTGCATGCTTAGTCCTCGTTAAGCTGTTAAGAAAATTAGAGAGACTTTTTTGTTGCTACTTGGGCGCATTTCAGTATTCCCTTGAACATGCTGGCCTCTCCTGTTTGTGGCTCTGCTTTAGGGATGTGATGTCTATTTTAAACAGCAAGCTGCATCCGCTGAAGTCACCTGGCAAAGCTCTTTTTCCTCCTCCTGTACATCCAGCTCAAGGTTTTCAGACAAGTGGTATGGGGGCTGTTCGGTCACTGCCAAGAACAGTATGCTGGCCTAGATAAGCCAGTTTGCTTTGGTTGGCTCAAGCAGGAGTCTGGTATGATGACCTCAGGGTTGGACTACTGCATTGCGCTCCGCATGGGGCTGCCTTTGAAAGCGGCCTTCGAGGAGCGCAGAACATGGCCGTCCTGGCGGCTGACACAATTCGAGTCAAGCAGATCACAGAACCACCAGTGCTGTCGAAACTGTGATTGACAATTCAGAATGCTGCTTTGAGCAATAGAGCTCATTACAGCTCAGGACCATGATATCTTCTGGAACACACCACAAGATATGAACCTGCCCAGATGTTTAGACCTCCTTCTGAGGCCATTTTCTATGTCTCCCTCTGAGGGAGGCATGGAGGGTGGTGACACAGAAGAAGGGCCTTTTCAGTGGTGGCTCCCTGTCTCTGGAATGCTCGCCACAGAGAGATGTTGTATGTGGCTACCAGTGTGGGGGCCAAACCTTCCTGTGGCTGCTTATTATGGGGGTTGTTTTGTTACATTTTTATAGTACGAGCCATTTATATTAATATACTTAAATGTGCTGGAGTCTCGCTGGAGACTTTTGGTAACAAGCAACAAACAAGAATAAGAAACTACAATAATTTGAATGGAGTCTCCATTGTTAGAGGTTATGACCCTTGTTACCAAAGGAGGCAGTTGCTTGTTCACTGTAGGAAGATGTAACTTTTGGTCTGAGGTGGCAAAGTCACACTTCCATTCTTACAGGGTCATTGTTGTCGTTTTATGAGCGACAAAGAAAACTTTTTACTCATTAGAAAAAGCTTTGACAATATGTATTTTCTTTTAATCCATTGGTTGCACTTAAAAGATAAATAAACTCTTGAGCAATAAAGAAAATATTCTGCTCCTGACAAAAATAAGGCAGTACACAATATTCATAAAATACTATTATGCAGAAACATTATAATAAACAGGTACAACAAAGTTTGCACAGTTAAATTCGTTAATTTTTTTTTGTTTTTGGTTGTGTTTCCTTTTTCTCTGTGTGTGTTTTTTTTACATAGTAAAGTGTCGTATATAATACATTCTCCAAAAATGTAGTGCACTGTGTTTTCGTTTTTAAAACATGGATGAACCCATCAGGTTTTAAAGGGTGTTTGGGGGATTTTAAAGACTTCTTCAACTTTCAACTGAATGAAAATGCACACAAAATCAGAAAAGCGGTTTCCTCGCCTGCGACACTGTCTGGCAGAACCATGCATGTTTCGAACACTTAACTTGGCACAAGGAAGAAAGAGAAAAAACGACAGGACTAAGGGACAAACCGTGTGAGCATGCCAGCATTAGCCAAAAAAAGAGAAAGTCAGTTTCCTGATTTAAGACACTCCCCTCTATTGCATTCCAAGGGAAAAGGAACAAAACAAACCCAACTAGCTGGAAGTCAGCGATGCTTTGGGGGCTCGCTTCCCCACCTCCCATGTCTGTTTCTCCAGCAGTTAAGAGTACTGGGTTAAATCCTGCAACAGTCTATATAACAGAAAAAGCTGAAAAACAACGAGGCAGCATAAAAACTGAAAGATCCTCAAACAAGCAACGGAGAAGGAAACCAGGGCAAGTATACATAATTATTTCATGCATTTGTAGAATTCAGCACCTCATTGGGCTCCACAGTTTGGCTGGTTGGTTGGTGGTTCTCTTTTTTAAAATAAAAATAAAAATCAAGATTCTTAGCCCTCATTGTTGTGCAGAAAAAACCGGGACGACCTGCCTGCTGCCTTCCCTTTCCCACTATTATTCGGTGAGCTTTCTCTGTCCGTGGCTGGTTATCATGGTTTCCCCGTTCAGGGCCAAACACCAGGATAAAATGCTTCATAGGGGCGACATAAGTAGAGGGAAGCCTGTTTTTTGGCGCTTAACTTCCACAGAGCTTCCACCATGCCGCAAACGCTGGGAGGAGATGGGGCCCTCCAGTTTGCAGACGAGCTTCAGAGACATACAGGCTCATTTCCCGGCATAAAGTCCTTGGTCTATGCGCAACCTCAGAAGGATGCCCCACCTCGGTCCATGCCCAATCTCGTCACAGAATTTGGCGCAGCTTGTCATAGATGCTGCTCGCTTAGAACAGGGAGGTGCTCTTGAAATACTGGCAAGAAGGTGGGGCATCGGGAAGGATCTCCTGTAGGTGGGTTCAGAGACAGACAACGCCTTGCACACATTACAGTGGGGGGCACACACACCAGTTTCCCTTCTGCCCATGCTCGCCACCCTTTGACCATCCCAGTGCTGGGAAACTCAATTAACACAACAAACGAAAGACACACAAATATTTTTTGGCCCTGAAATACAGAGTCTGCAGTGAAGACTCTCGTGTGTGTGCACACACACACACCAACACACAACCTCAACTCCTGGTGGGAAGCCACCTTGTTTTTCCAGTGTGCTTTTTCTTCTCCTGGAAAGAACTTTCTCAGGTATTTACAAACATTATTACATGGAAGAAGATGCCAGTAAACCATTAATTGAAGTGACAAGTGCAGGCAAATTCTCGTTCCCCCTTCCTCCCCCTAAAAGGGTGCAGGCCAGGTTGCAGTTGTTGCTGCTGCCGTCGCCTCAGGCAAACCCTCAGAGTTCCTCCTCTGCGTCTGCTCTCACTTGTTCTCGATCAGCGTTTGCACTTTGCAGACCAGATCTCTCGCGATCTTCAGGATCTCCTGCGCGTTGTGGTGCTCTGCCATTTCTGCACGAAACACACAACAGAAGTAAGAGGAGGGGGAGGACCAGTAGTGCGAGGGGCCAGAGGCAAAAGTGAGTGGAGGAAGCTGAGATTGCCTGGGAGTATGCACTATTGGCCAAAATTGTGGAAACCATTTGGAAAAAGTGCATTTCTGAGGTTTGTTGGCTCAGCACCATTATTATTATTATTATTATTATTATTATTATTATTATTATTATTAATACCATAAAATTATATATCAATGGAAAGATAATTTAATGAAGAATGCAATGCAACAAAGTTTGTTCACTTATCTGTATTCTATCAAAAGTTATAGCCATATAACCTAAAAAAGGAAGCACAACTAAGTGATTGATATGCAGCTTTTTTTTAGTTGATATGCAGTTGTGCTTCCTTTTTCAAACCTCAGAAATACACTTTTCCCAAAAGGTTTCCACAGTTTTGGCCACTAGTGTAGATATCAGCTCCTTGTTTTTGTTGTTGCTGTTTAGTCATTTAGTCGTGTCCGACTCTTTGTGACTTGTGACAGGAGCACGCCAGGCACTCCTGTCTTCCACTGCCTCCCGCAGTTTGGTCATGTTTGTAGCTTCCAGAACACTGTCCAACCATCTCATCCTCTGTCATCCCCTTCTCCTTGTGCCCTCAATTTTTATATCAACTCCTAACGAGCTCAATTGACCAGTTAGCTAAGCTCTCACTAGAGGAATATGCAGCAAAACCTTGTTTGGGATAAGACTATTCCAGCCCCATTACTTGCACACTTGCAACTTAGAGGACCAGAGCTGTCCATGTAAAATAGATTAATTTCTTCTTGCCGCAGTCAAGTTGCGGTTACCCAGCCCACCTTGCCAAATCACAATAGTCCATAGCATAGTTTTCTGGACTAAATTTGGCAATGGAGTTCTGGATGCTTTAACTGAAGCACCACGTGCTCATGTAGTGGCCATGTTAAAACTGCCTGGCACCCTTGGGTCGAGATGGCCTTCTAAGTGTTTCTTATCAGTTAAAAACGCTGAGCCAAAACAGCTGCTCTTCCAGCTCCTGTTCCCCAATTAAAGATATGGCTGTTAAGCCCACGCAGAAAACAGATAAAACAGATACGCTCCTTGCCTGCATGTACCGATTCACATTAACCCTGAGCTATCTTCACCTGGAAACTACAAAGAAAAACCCAACAGCCACATTTTCGGAAAAGTTCCATGTCAAGGAAAATGCTAGACTAGGACGCTGACCCTGCTGAGATGCAAAGTGTGCCTTTTTCTTGTTGCACAGCAACACTCCATCATCACAGGAGCCCCTTCTGTACTCTGGTGCAGTTCATCCCAGAAACAAGTTCACAGATTCAGTTTGAGATGAGAATAATCAGAAAGGAAAACATCGCTTTATTTCCAAGTGGAAGCCTCGTACCTGCCGTTGCTCAGGCATTTTAAGAAACAAAACAAACAACCAAAAAATGATTAGAAGAAGCGCAGTTTTGAAAGTGCAGCCTGCTCTCTTGATTCAAGGTGGCAACGGGTTGTATCCAAAAACAGACAAATGTTTGCTCCTGGATCTCAGAAACCATCACACCAAATTTGGTGACAATCTTGAGTTCTGAAAGGTTTGGTCCACCGCCTTGATTCAAAATGGTGTGTAGCAGTATCTGAACGCAGACAAAAACCTGCTCCTCTGCCTCAGGAACTATCATGCCCAACCACAGAGAACAGGTGGGGAAATAGGCAGCTTTCCAAAATACAGATGATCAGGACTGAATTCTGATCTGCTCCTGTCCTCCCTCTGCCCAAATCCCTTGCTTCCTAAACAAACAAATGAAAATCTTTCCCTAAACACGGACGTGAGATCTCCAGGCTGATAGTAGATCAAGACTGATGGACATTTTTTGGGGATTGAAACTGGGAAAGGGGGGGAGTGGAGTTTGGGGATCCAATCATAATTACATCTGTTTTGCTTTACTTTTTGATTATTGAGAAAATTGGGGAAGCGTGGAAGGGATTTGGTCGACTTGAAAAAAGGTTTTAAGAAGATAATGTATAGAATATTGAGTTTATAGAAAATTGGCTTTTTTAAAAGACTAATAGAAAGGTCAAAATGGGGATAAGACTTGTGAACACAATTGCAATTGGAATATAAGATTGGGGGAATCAGGAAATATTTAAGAAAATAAGGAGTAACTTATGTTTTTTTACTTTTTGTTTCTTTTTGATTGTTATGATCAGCGTTCAATAATATCTTCTTGTTTAAAAAAAAGGCTTTCCCTAAACGCCCGCAATCTTAAATGACACATCGAAGTCTGAAAAAGAATAGAAAAGAAGTGAATACATGACTGGCCCTTACATTAAAAACTTGATGATTCAGTAAAGTCCAGTTCTAACCTCGTAGGCCTATACCAGGTAAGGCATGAAAGGACAAATGTTCTGAGAATGCTTGCTGCCCAAATAACTTCCCACACTGTAAAAACATCCTCGTACAACAATTCTGAAGGGAAGGAACAAACATTGCAGAGAGCATCCAGTTACTCAAGCGTATCATGGTCACAACAGTTTTCTTGACGACATTAATCCCCCCCACTCCCCTCCCCTGGGGGAAAAATTAAGACTACAGTGGTACCTCGGGTTACATACGCTTCAGGTTACAGACTCCACTAACCCAGAAATAGTACCTCGGGTTAAGAACTTTGCTTCAGGATGAGAACAGAAATCGTGCTCCGGGGGGTGCGGCAGCAGCGGGAGGCCCCATTAGCTAAAGTGGTGCTTCAGGTTAAGAACAGTTTCAGGTTAAGAACGGACCTCCAGAACGAATTAAGTACTTAACCTGAGGTACCACTATAATAAAAATAATCTCTAATGGCATCTTTAGACTTGGCGGGGTCACCTGCCGGGGATGCTGTTGCTGCATTCTGAAATGGCAGAATTTGCACTAAGCGCACGTTGGGGTCAGACTAGATGACCCCCAAGATGCCACCCAACCCTTTTGGGCCCATGATCAATATGTGGCTCAAGCATCTTACCTCTCTTAAAATCCAGCAGGAACCAGCGGTAGCAAAAGTAGAAGTGAGTGTAATCCCCGTTCTGGTGCATCAGTTCGAAGAGTTCGGAATCCAGAATCTTTGGGGGGAAATGTGAAAACAACAACAACACAGAGACAAAAATGAGTTCCAGTTTTAAATATCTGACAACACAGATATCTGAGAGACAACACAGCTGTGCAATCAGGGGCTTGCAAGGTCTCAGGATTTGGGATTTGGGAGCAGGCCACACCTCCCATGGCCTGACCGCCAGGTGAGATTATTGGGCCTCCAACCCAGAGGGGGGAGGAGGTGGGGAGCTCAAGGCAGAAGGAGGTAGGACACTTGATTCCTAAGGTGCCACAAGGCTTTTTTCGGTGAAGGGGCTGCAGCTCAGGGTCCGCGTCAGAACCTGGCAACCTTGGGCAGATGATGGGCTCCCAGCTGGCCACCACATTGAAACAGAATCCCAGCCAGGTGCTCCCACTGGCACTGGGGGCCATCTTAATTTCCCACAATGCCCTTCTTCACACGCTCTTTCCTCTCGCGCTCTCTCTCTCTCTCTCTCTCTCTCTCTCTCTCTCTCTCCCACTCTCCTTTACAATCTCCTCTCTTTCCACCCCTTTGGCATCCATTCTTCCCCTCACACAAACCCCAGTCAACCATCGTTCATTATCTCTTCCAGCCAAGCGCATTATCTCTTCCAGATTTAAGTTTGCAGACACCTCCCTGCCCTAACGCTCCCTTCTTCCAGACCTGCTGGCCTGATCTCATGCATGTGTCTACTCAGAAGTAACGTCCCAGGGAGGCGTTTGAGCTGCCTTCACAACACTGCTGCAGAGCTTTCCCCCTTTTAGGGAGATGCGCTGAAAAATCAGAAGAATCGCACGGTTCCCATAGGAACTGGCCCCCTGCCCAGAGACAGCAGAGGTGGGGAGCTGCTCCAGCTCCTCCCTCCCCACCGTCCTCAGCTCTGGGCTGCCAGGTGTCCAGAGAGGAAACTGAGCAGAGGATGCCCATGTGCACTCAGATGCCTGACCACGGAGTGTGCCAGCTAGAGCATCTTTCCAAAGGATTCTAGGCCACTCTAGCTGCCACGCTCCGTGATTGAACCTCCTCTGTGCAGGGATAATGGGAAGAAATGGGAGACGCCGCGCTTGTGAGCTGGGAATCAGATACAGTATGAGGGCCACGCAAAGCTTGCACACCTCTGGAATTTTACCCATGTGCTGATGGGGCCCAGAGGGAGAAGGCAAGCAAATGAGCAGCAGTGATGCCATCCTGCCCAACGGCCCAAAATCTGCAGCCAGCACCGCTACAAGATCAATAGCAGGGCCATTGGACAAATGGGATGTCTGTCCCAGCGTTCTTGCAGGAGACTGAAGGAGGGATCAAGCCTCGTTTGGCCTTTAAGTGCCAGGCAAATTCTGTGCCATTGACTAAGTCTGCCAACCTGGCGCCCGACAAATGTTTGAGACTACAACTCCCATTAGCCAGAGCTTGCTGGGGGTGATGGGAACACAGAAAACTGTCTTATATCGGTGGCTGGGTATAAGACTGGGTATAGCTAAGGATTGTCTACAATGATTGGGAGCAGGATTTCAGAGAAGCGTCTCCCGTTTCTACAGAAGATGCTGGGGATCACTCCCGAGGCCTTCTGCACATGCTCTATGGCCCCTGTAGTCAAAAACATCTGGAGAGCACCAGCTGCACTAAAGTTTTGGGGGGTGGGCTTTAATTGTGGGCAGCAAATCATTGGTTTAGTGCTGCTGTTTGGGTGGATTGTATTTAATTTGGTTTCAGTCTTTAGTTTTGTGCCCATTTTAATTTTGCTAAACTGCCTTCAGCTTCAAACGAACGGAACAGGACAGCTAAACATTATTTTTTTTAACATAGGCATGCAAAGCCCCACCTGGATCAAGGACCTCATGTTTGCAAAATGTGTGTCCATGGCACCTCCGTTAGGGAAATTTTGACTCATCCTCTTCATGAGATGGGTGAAGCAACTGTAAGCCAACTCGTCTGAAATCAAACGCAGACAGATGTTAATTTAAAACAAGAACAGTGAAGCAATGCTTTTTAAAGAGTAAATCTGCTTTTTAATCATGAAACAGTGCAATCCTATTATACATGTTTACTCAGATGTAAGCCCTACTGTGTTCAATGGGGCTTATTCCCTAGTGTTTAAGGTTGCAATCTAAGGCTGAAATCCTAACCCCACTTGCCTAGAAGTAAGTAATTCAATAGGACTTACTTCCGAGTAGACATGCTTAGGCTTGAACTATGAACCAGCACATCCATCAGTTGTATTCAAAAAAATATTTATTTATACTTGCCCATAGATATACAAAAATTCATACTCCATGCAAAGTATCTATTATATAATACACAGAAAATAAATGCTTGATCTAAAAAGGAATGGAGGCAGAAAGAAGAAGAAATAAATAAAGGAAGACAGAAAAAAAGGGAAAGGAGAGAGAAAAGAATAAAGAAAGAAAAAAGACTTTCAGTTCTCTGTCCTGCAGCTAAATATAGTATTCACTCATTAACATCCAACCATTCTGCCTTCTGTATACCAATATTTCTTCAAACTTCAATTCCAGATATTACAAGTTCATTTTCTCTATCACACAAAAAAAGTTCATCAATCAGTTGTATTTAGAATAAAATTGTGTCAGGGCCAAGGCCAAGTCCAGCCAACTGGTGTCTCCATAACTGGGCAACTGCAGGGCATGGGCCAAAATCAGCAGAGCAATGGAAGTTCATCTTTTTTTTAAAAAATAAATTTTTATTAATTTTCCATAAATAGAAAAAGAAACAAAGCAAAAACATAAACAAACACAAAATAGACTTCCCCATACCACCCCTTTTCTGCATCCTTGATCCAAATTTTTCCAGCAACCCTTAAGTCATAAGCTTATTTTATATTTCATAGATTTAAGTTCCTTGAATTATTAAAACAGCTGTAGTTCTTTATCTCTTATCTCCCTGACCTCCTAGCTTTCATCCAAATTACAACAGTTTTTAAGATAAGCTTTAAATTTGTTCCAATCTTCATCCACCGCCTCCTTCCCCCGGTCGCAATGGAAGTTCATCTTTATGTAGAGTACAAAGGAGTAAAACACACAGGCAGAGTTCTTCAGTAAAAGTTTACTGAGGTTTTTAAAAGCATACAGAAACTTGCTGGAATCCCCAACAAGGCAAAAACCTCGCTTTTGCAGAAGCAAAAACACATGGTATATATACAGAAACCAAAATAGAGAGAGAAAGAAGACGATGAAGAATTCAGGCAGCGCTCAGTGGCAGGTTTATATCTCTGACTCTAAGCACTGACCTTGAGTTCTTACAGGACTCTAAGAATAACAACAGCTGTGGACGTGCTTTGTCCAGAAAGCACGAGAATATTCTAGTAACTTCTAGTAAATCCAGGAAGATTCTGCATCCACCCCTGATAAATTGTAAGCTAAGGTAAACTATGGATTAGCATGAACGTGCAACTGTGATATAAATGAATATATATTTTTATATGGGGCTGCACAGATACCATGAAGACTTCTAACCTTTGTCGAGTATAACCATGAGTGGAGCCAGGAGGTCACACATTCCTTGGACGTAGCCAACGTCTAAATGTTCCCAAACGTAACTGCAACAGAGGGAAGAGAAATGGAGTCATACGCTTGAAACGTCTCTTAAATGAACTGCTTCCGGTTAAAGGGCAAATTTGCAAAATGCAGCTTGGTTCAGCCAAAACAAACTAGGATCTGGAGGAAGGTTCTCAAGAAGCTTCTCTGAGCTTGGAACGTCCTCCTGAAAATTTGAATTCTTATTCTCCTAACCGGGTTTTCGAACCATATTATCGTTATTCGCTTCTGTAGCTCTCCCAAGCTCCGCCCCTTGCTCCAACAGGCCCCGCCCTCAAAATGTCAGGCTCCACCCCTGCTGAATCCCAGACTCCACGCCTGGGAGCCTCCCGGTTCCACTTACCTGCACATAATGTTCCGTAGTTTCTCCAGGTTCTCAGCGGTGAAATACCAGTAATTCCGATCACACCTCTGTACGTCTTTATCGATTCTGTGCAAGTTTAAGGCAACAGTGTCCAACATTTCTATCTAGAAGATACAAGCACACGTCACAGAGGTGTTGCTGAATAAAACACGACTTCTCTGTTGCAATCTGAAATTTTGGAAAGTGGCGTGTGTTTTAAACATGCATACACACACACAAACCGCTACTAATTTTTATTTATTATAATCATCATTGATTTATTAATTGCCTTCTGTAATGGGGGGAAGAGAGCAAAAAAGGCTTTTAACCACCACCACCCAAAAAAACCCCCGAGGTTCAAATGCATTTTTCATTGCATTTCATTCTTTCTTTCTCTACAGCCAGCATGAGGACTAGTATCTTAGAATTCCTTTGGGAATTCTGTGTGGGACCTACTCAGTTCTGCAATTCAGTGTGATTGATGTAGATCTGTCAAAACATAGCCTATGAAGGTCCCCCCGGACCAGGTCTAAGGTTCCCCAACTTTGAGCTAACGCAAGGGTTGTCAACCTGGTCCCTACCGCCCACTAGTGGGCGTTTCAGGATTCTAGGTGGGCGGCAGGGGGTTCCATGGCACAAGCTGAATCCTCCTTCCCTCAAGCACTGGTGGGCGGTAAGGAATTTTTACCATCAAGAAAGATGCATTACTGGGCGGTAGGTACAAAAAGGTTGACTACCCCTGATCTAATGCATCCCAGTCCTTTATTTACATCAGGAACACGGCTTATTTCATTCTGTGTTCAAGTGCAAGAGCAACCCTTGTGAGGAGACAGCAAATCAACTGGGCCCTTTTCTCCCATAAAAACACCCATTTGCTGAGCTCTTCAATAGAGGCCCTGCTTCAGGTGCCCTTGATTATTGAGGCCACTGGGCGCGGGGCCTTCTCTGCAACAGCACCCCAATTATGGGCACATACTCCTCAACCTGCAGAACTTACAGAGTCATTCCTCTAAGCAACGCTATATTGCTTTAGATGCCTGCTGAGAATTCTTCCGTTGAGGCCTGCCTATCCAGACTCAAGACTGAGATGCTTATATTCCTTTTCAAAAGTTTTGTTGATTTTTAGCTTTGTTAAAATATGTTCTGCTTTGTTTAATTTTGCAATATGCCCTGCCACCCTATAAGCAAAAAAGGGGGCATTGTTTTAAGTTCGGGGGGAAAGAGAGGGCAGGAGATGGTAGGGCCCAATGAAACAGACCTAAAGGATTTTTTGGATCAGCAAAATGCAGTATTGGGGGCTTTCCAGGAGAGTAGGATGGAAGAGTGAAGCTGTGGCTCTCTCTAGATGCTGTTGGAACTCCAAACCCCATCAGCCTGAGCCAGCAAGGCCAATGGTCAGGGATGATGGGAGTTGTAGTCCGGCAACATTTGAAGGGCCACAGCTTGCCCATCTCAACAGGGTCCCTCTTACCTACCGTATAAGATGCAGAACACACAGATATGGCCTCCTCTGCAGGTTCCTTACAGTCCATCTGGGAACAGGGCTGTTCCTCAGCTACTAACTCCTGGGGTTCCGAGCCCTTGGCTTGAGAATCCTGGTCTGAATCTTGCCTCTGTGGATCGGTGCCAGCTTCCTCCTCGGCCCCGTCCTCAAAGCAGACACTCTGCCCGTCATCAATGCTGGACAGGATGCCCGACGTGACGGAGTAATTCCGGGAGGACGGGAGCCCGGAGTCGGGGGAGTCAAATTCTACCGACTGCTGCTGCTCCACAGCCACAATGACCGTTGGTGCATCGCTGCAGCCCCCGGTCAAAGATGGGTCTTCCTGAACCTTCAGGTCTCGCTCTACAGAGTCCATTTCATCGACGGATATAAACACCTGAAGGGCAAGATGTTTATCATGAAAGGAAGGAAGGATTAAACGAACACAGCAGGAATGTGAAGGTCTGATGCACCACCTGATATTGTTGGAAGAACTGGACATGGAGGAAAGGGTGAATTTCTTTCATGGGCACAAAACACCCCATGTATGAGATAAGGCAAAAGGTGCAAAGCTGCAAGGTCAGCCAAGCCAGTCGCTATGGCAAGGGCCCAGTACCATCTATATAAGTGATTAAGGCGTGTCAGCTCATTTGTCAGTCCATGAGTCCCGCCCATGAGTCAGAGTCTGTATTACGTCTTGGAACTGCTGGAGCAACAGAAACCCTTTCTACTTGTATATATCTGTATCTGTATCTGCAAAGGCTACAAGCTGTATGTATATATCACGTCTGGAACTGTATTGCTGAAGCCTTATCTTCCGCAGCAGTAAACTATTTTGGAGCCTAAAACTGCCATGGTGTGGTGACTGGAACTTGGATGACAAGCGGCACAGAAATATAATAAATCAAATCAAAATCAAATCAATCTGCTGGGGGAGAGGCTGCAAGCAGGCTGTGGATGGGCCTAGATGGGGGGTCCAGGTCCAGAGCCAATGATGGGCAGGGTACCCTGTTCCCTCTCTGTGCCACCTCTTTCTCCCCATTCCCATTCCCTTCCTTTGCACCTGCGTGAAACTAGGCCAAGGGCCAAATGAAATTAAGCCTCAGGCCAACTGGGGCTCTCAGGCCTCTAGTTGCTGACCCCTGGACTAGATTGATGGACCTTCGGTCTGACCCAACAAGGCCCTCTGCATTATGTCACAGCAAAGAGGTATGTAGAACAAGGCACATAGCCTTACATCGTTGCTGATGGTGGAGTCCCTGTGGATCAACCGCTGGACATGGCTGTCTATGCTGCTGCCGGAGGAGAATTTGGTGGCCGTTTGAGACTCCTTCTCCCGAAGCTTCACAATCACCTCGCAGGCTTTCCACTCGGCCATCACTTTCTGATACCTGAGCGCAATTTCCTCGTCAACCTTCAGAAAGGAAGGGAAAAAAGGCTGTCAGGAAGTCATCCCTGGAAAGGTCTTGGGAAACCTCTGCAGGTTTTCATTTAAATATATATATATATATATTATTTTAAAAATAAAAAATGACAAGTGCATAGAGTGAGGTAAGACACACAAAAAGGAAAGAAACAAGAAATAGTACCCACGTAGAAAACACAACAGAACAAATAAAAAATATATATTGTGTACATTACAAAAAAGGGGGGGGGTTCTGAAAGGTTTTCACAACAGGGAAAGCTAAGGCTCTTCAGACGATGCTGGACTACAACTCCCATCAGTCCCAGCCTGCCTGGCCAGTATTGAGGGATGATGGGAATTGTAGTCCAGCAACCTCTGGAGGGCCACAGGTTCTCCACTCCTGCCCTAGACAACAACCTTAAGCCAAGTACCCTTGTTAACACTGTTGAAATTAACTCGCAAGCTTTCTCAGAGGCTTTAAATGAAGGCTAAACTTCCCCTCAGGTGCCTTTCAAATCTTCTGAAGTCTTCACTCTAGTCCAGGATCTTCTGTTTCCTCAGCTCCACCACAATCCATCACCACTGCGGCCTCAGCTCTCCCAAAAGCGACAGCGGGAGTCTTGCACGTCTCTCCTGCAGCAATTCTTAGCTTTTTCTCCCAAATCAGGCATAGGGAGCCTGTAGCCTTGCAGAGATTACTGGATTATAACAGGGGTGGCCCAGCCCATTTCACCACCTGAGGCAAAACAGGAACGTGCTGCCTCCTGCTACCTCAGCCCTGAGTCACGTGGTGGCAGCTTCCAGCAGAATCTCATTGGAAACCACTGCCGGCACTTCTATGGTGGCAGCGGCAGGTCAGGCGCTGACCCACAGGATTTTGCTGCCTCATGGACCAATTGGCCACGCTGATGGGAGTTTTGAGTCCCAAACGCCCCTGAATTATAAACTCGTCTTGCGCATGCGCACCCGAGGTTCTGGTGGGAGAGAAGGGGGCCCAGGGTTGGGCAACATCACCAAATGAAAGCTTTCAGAACCCTACCTAAGAATCGCTCTTTGACTCGCCACTAATCTTATCTTAGCTGCAAGAAAAAGACTTTGAGGAGGGGGCTAGCAGGCTGGGAAAAAGAGGCAAATTGTCCTCCTCCTCCAGACTTTATCTGCACACTTCTTTCTGGCCAAAAACCCCAAGGTCACACTGACCTTGCAGCCTGCAGCTGTTCCCATTTCTCTCCTGGGACAGAAATGAGAAACTTCAGGACTCTGCAGATGATCATTCATTTGTCATTAGCATCTTAACCTCCGCCAGTGAGCTCTGGGTAGATTCTTCCTGTTGCACATCTATTGTCGATTATAACCATCGTTTGTCACTCCCACCTAGGGAATAATTACATTTTGGTTCGCTGTAGAGAGATGCTGGAAGGTTGCATACACATTGTACTTTCACTTATATGTTGTTGTAGCGAGCATTACCTGACATTTTCAGAAGGTACAATTAAAATTATTTGGTTTTCAGGAGCGGTTCATGTGCTTTTTATATTTTAAACAATTCATTATTTTAATTCACAACCCTGGAGATAAATATAAGCACAAGCTGGGTCTGCACCGCGACCCACACTTTTTGCTGTTTTCATGAGTGCTGCTCAGAAGCAGATCCCCTACCTTATCTCTTGCAGGGGAAGGAAACCAGCAAGACATCACCAAACCCACTCTAGGAGACTGGTGCACCCTCAGGGAAACAATTTCTACGTTACCTCCGGGGGCGGGTAAAGGTTTTGATGCCAAAAAAATAACACAATTCTCCTGTTGTTTATGTGGTTTTCTAATCAAACACAAATTTACCAAGCTAAATGTTAGCCCATCACGAAAATAATGCCAGGTTTGAATTTCCCCACACTCAAAAACCTAATTTTAAGACTCCTCACTGAAGAAATTTGCAAAAAGTAAGTTTCGCTCCCTAAAATGACATACCCTAATACACAATGAGGCGGCTTTGTTAGGCCTGGTCTCTTCAGGGTACAGTCTTGTTCCTGGACTGTAACTCTTCAGACTGGAAGCAGAAGGTTTCTCAGCCCAACTTAGTGGTGCTGTGAGCTGAACCTGGGGTGTTCTCTGTGCAGGGCTCTGAGACGGAGCCAGCAAGAAGCCACAGTGAACTCCAGACCCGGCTAGCATTAGTGCTAAAGTGATGGGGCAGGACAAATTAGGAGGAAGGAGACTTGCCAAAAGTTCCAAAGTGTAGGTGCTGCTTCTCTGAAAGATTGGGGGATAAAAAAACCAAAGAAGGGTGGGGCTGAAGGGCTACAGCCCTTGGGGTTGGGCTAGATGACCCTTGGGGTCCCTTCCAACTCTATGATTCTAACCCCTTTGTATCTCAGTGGTTCCCACCCCTTGGGGGGTATTACCCAAGGGGTTGCCTAAGTGGTAAGGGGGCAGTGGGCGTAAATGACTCTCAGGCTTTGAAAAGCTGTTATCGCTGGATCGAGGTCATCCATTTTGTTGAATTAATTAATTTAAACAGGTTTCAAATGCATTTTGAATAAATGTGCAGCTAATTGTCAGCGTTTTGTATTTTATTGCATCATTATCTTCCTTAATGGGTTGTGCAGAATGGAATTCTGAATAATGCTTTTTAATAGGATTGTTGTTGTTGTTTAGTCGTTTAGTCGTGTCTAACTCTTCGTAACCCCATGGACCAGAGCACGCCAGGCACTCCTGTCTTCCACTGCCTCCCGCAGTTTGGTCAAACTCATGTTGGTAGCTTCGAGAACCACTGTCCAACCATCTCGTCCTCTGTCGTCCCCGTCTCCCCTCAATCTTTCCCAACATCAGGGTCTTTTCCAGGGAGTTTTCTCTTCTCATGAGGTGGCCAAAGTATTGGAGCCTCAGCTTCAGGACCTGTCCTTCCAGTGAGCACTCAGGGCTGATTTCCTTAAGAATGGATAGGTTTGATCTTCTTGCAGTCCATGGGACTCTCAAGAGTCTCCTCCAGCACCATAATTCAAAAGCATCAATTCTTCGGCGATCAGCCTTCTTTATGTTCCAGCTCTTACTTCCATACATCACTACTGGGAAAACCATAGCTTTTACTATACGGACCTTTGTCGGCAAGGTGATGTCTCTGCTTTTTAAGATGCTGTCTAGGTTTGTCATTGCTTTTCTCCCAAGAAGCAGGCATCTTTTAATTTCCCGACTGTGTCACCATCTGCAGTGATCATGGAACCCAAGAAAGTAAAATCTCCCACTGCCTCCATTTCTTCCCCTTCTATTTGCCAGGAGGTGATGGGACCAGTGGCCATGATCTTAGTTTTTAATAGGATAGGGATGTGTTTATAGAAGCAAGGGAATGGGGCACCAATATAGTTTGAGAACCACACTGCCTTATCTGGTGAACCTGTTCCAGAGGATGCATCTAGGACCAAGCCTCCCTAGGGAAACCGAGGTTTGCCCTGTCTGCTGGTGCACACAGCACGGGATTGCTGGCAAAAGTCCTTCTGCAACCCTTTGTAATTCAAAATGCCCATGGTGGAACTGAGAGCAAAATTGAGACACTGCCATTGACCTCCCTGTCTTAACAGCATCTTTCAAGGAACACTCCTTCCCCTACACCAGGGTCTGCCAACTTTAAGGACAAAAAAGAGCCATTGGACCCGTTTCCGAAGGAAAAAAACTGGAGCCGCAAAAACCATTGCGACATTTAAAGCATGCGCGCCGCTGCCTCCAATCTGACAGCGGCGGGAAGTGACTCGGGACGTGCGTGACCTAACGGCACGCACCACCCCATGCAACGTCACAGCCAGTACAAGCGCCCGACACGGTGGGGAGTGTCGGGGCGCACAAATGCACCTCCCTCCCTCGCTAGTATCTGCCCCGGAGCCGCGCAAAGGTGTTAAAAGGCCACATGTGGCTCCCGGGCCGCGGGTTGCAGACCCCTGCATCTACACCCACAAAAAAGACCAGGTCGGTTACCAAGCATCTAAAATATAACCTGAAGTACCCACCCGGCCCATCTCCTTCTTGGTCATGCCAAACTTGTAGTGTCCCAGCAAGAACGGCCACACCTCCTTCCGAATGTCGTGCTGCACCCCACCATAGTAAACTCGCCGGAGGAGCTCCAACTCCTTGTAATTCTGAGCCAAAGAAAGGAGGGAGAGAGATTTGTTTTATTATTATTATTAATATTATCATTATGAAGACTATTACAATGAGTTAAAGTAGAAAAAGAAAGAAAAAGAATACATAAAACCTTTTAAAACAACATGACAGTAAAATATAATTAAAATTACTCTATAACATATATGTAAATGGATGAACTTACTGTTTCCCTCAAATATACATTGATTCCTAGGTCACAATGGTTTCAATAAATACCGTATGTTCCAAATATCATTGCATTTTCCCACACATCTGTCTGAAAGCGATCTGTTAATGGGCTGCAAAAGTTGTCACATCTTCTGTCCATTGACTGAAAGAGGCCATATTTTCCTCTTTCCAATGTATCAATATCAATCTTTTTGCAGATGTAAGGGCACAGAGAATCCATTTAACTTGCCCAATTGCCAAGCCCCATATATTAGGTATATAATTTAAGCTAATGCTATCTTCTGGAAATTTTTAACTCTTTCCTCATTATCATAACAAAATAATTAAAAAAACATTCCAGTAGTAGCTTAGACACCTTTGTTTTGACTACGGCAGACCAACACAGCAACCTACTTGTAACTCATTATCATACTTATACAACCAAATATTTTCTTCCAAAAATTTGCCAGCATCTAACACTGTATAAACATGAGTTTCAAAGAAGCAAGCTGCAGAAAAAAATAATGCAGTGACCCCAAACTGAATGTTGAAATCCTGCACAGAGCAGGAACGAACTCCCTGCGTCATCAGCAAATGTGTGTGCTGAATTCGACTTTAGAATCGTAGAACTGTGGAGCTGGGACACTCAGAGTCATCTAGTCCAACCCCCTGAATTGCAGGGATCACAACCACCTCTCCACCTGCTGCACACCTGGCTTGATCTGTGAGGCAGGTGGGCATGGTTTAGAGATGGGAAGGCCTAAGAAAAAATGTGAAGAATTTGGGGGGTGGGTCCTAATTTGAGCAGTGGGCCCAGAAAAAAAACCCCAGGGTGTGTGTGGCTAGTATTAATAATATTAATTTATTACAGTGATACCTCGGGTTACAGACGCTTCAGGTTACAGAGTCTGCTAACCCAGAAATAGTACCTCGGGTTGTGGCTAGTAATAATAATATTAATTTATTACAGTGATACCTCGGGTTACAGACGCTTCAGGTTACAGAGTCTGCTAACCCAGAAATAGTACCTCGGGTTAAGAACTTTGCTTCAGGATGAGAACAGAAATCGTGCTCTGGCAGCGCAGCGGCAGTGGGAGGCCCCATTAGCTAAAGTGGTACCTCAGGTTAAGAACAGTTTCAGGTTAAGAACGGACCTCCAGAACGAATTAAGTTCTTAACCCAAGGTACCACTGTATTTATACCTTGCCCATCTGGCTGGGTTTCCCCAGCTACTCTGGGCAGCTCCGAACAGAATGGTGAGGCCTAGTGTGTCAAGTTTCATCCTTACTCTATAGCAGTGTTTCCCAAACTTGGGTCTCCAGCTGAACTACAATTCCCATCATTCCTGACCGGCTAGCTAAGGATGATGGGAGTTGTAGTCCAACAAGAGCTGGACTCCCAACTTTGGGAAACACTGCTCTAGAGGATTTCTGGAGAACCTGCTGGGTCAGTGACTAAAAGGCTCTTCGGTGGAGGCTCTCTTCCACTCCTGGCTGTCTGGGACTATCATTTTCCTGCCTTCTTTGGGAGCATCATGAGGCAACTGATAGAAAACAATATACAAGAGAAGATGGGCCTTAATCTGATTCAGCAAGGGGGGGGGACCCATCGACACTTAACCTGATTGCATCTCATAATGGTTTCTTAATGGCCTGTTATCATCAAGTGCATCTTCAATGGGCTCACGGCTATTTAAGCAAATTGATTTCAGAGAATCTGCCCCTTACGGGTTTGAGTACCAGCTCCATACATCACTGGAAGGCCTGTGAGCATTTCTACTCAGGCGACAGACGCCATGGGCCAGAATCTTCCTGCTAAGAACAGGGGAGCCCTGCCAGGTCAGACGGAAACAAAATCCGCCCACTGCCATTTCCTTTGGTGGCCAGCCAGAGCCCGAGAGCAAAAGCAACAGGCCTCTCATGCCGTCGACATCTTCTCCCCCGGCAACTGGTGCTCAGAGGTACACTGCCATGGCGCATGGAAGTTCGATTTCAGCTGTCAAAGGTGGGACTCATCATCAGAGCCCTCTTCCCACTCTGTGGATTTATCTACTTCCTTTTTAAGCTGTCTAAGCCACTTTGAAGCTTTTTGGGTTGTTGTTGTTTACAACTGAGTGTGTATGAATTTTACGAAATAGATCAATAAGCCGGTGGTCGTTGGCCACTTCCAAGCTGTCTGCAAGGGAAAGTGGCCCTAGAGTTAAAGTCTCCCCAAACCTGATTTTATAGATAGATGGACAGAATGGAAAGAGGGAAAAGCTATTTCTGCGCATGTGCACTACATATGGTGTTTCTGTGTGCGCATGCTTGAGATTCTTACTATATCAAGCAGCAGAGCATTTCTATAAAATCGATCAGCGCAGAGGGAAGCCTCCTACCTTCTTGTCCTTCTGATATTTGCTCCAGACCTCTTTCGTCAGGCCCCCCGCGGCACTTGTGGGTTTGTCCGGAGGGATGATGGTGTGGCTTACCAGGGCAGACAGGTGCGTCCGGACGGTGGACAGGTGTCGGCAGTAGGCGAGCCCTGAGTTCGAGGGGGAGGAGAGAGAAAAAGATGGTTAGCAGAGAACTGAACGACCTGCCACTTTAAAGTTGAATGAGTGCTTCACACGCTTTTTAGAAAGTTCTTTAAAAGGGCAGGCACTGGTGTATGGGGGTGGTGGTGAGGGTTTTAACCCTTTCCCCCAGTGTAGGTTAAGGAAAGTAGGGCGCCATACGGGGTTAACCTTTTTGACATGCAGGTATGGACCACAGAGCATGAAGAGGGGGAGAATTGTAACCCTTTCCCCATTCAGGTAAGGACCACAGTGTGCTGTAAGGGGAGGGTTGCAACTCTTTCCCCATGCACGTTAAGGGACACAGGAGGGCACAGAAAAGGGGGAGGGTTAAGGACCACAGTGAACCAGGGGGAGGGTTGTAACTCCTTCCCCACCCAGGATATGAACAACAGTACATGGGGCAGAGGAAGGGCTTTTAATCCCCCTCTTTGATAATAATTTTATTAGTTTTCAATTAAGGTAAAGGTAAAGGCACCCCTGCCCGACAGGGCCAGTCGTGTCCGACTCTAGGGTTGCGTGCTCATCTCGCTCTAGAGGCCGTGAGCCGGCGCCGTCCGAAGACACTTCTGGGTCACGTGGCCAGCGTGACGAAGCTGCATCTGGCGAGCCGGCACCAGCGCCGCACACAGAAACGCCGTTTACCTTCCCGCTACAAAGCGGTCCCTATTTATCTACTTGCACTTAACAGTGCTTTCAAACTTCCAGGTTTTCAATTACAGTCCAATAATAGCCTCATTTTAACAATACCAATATATAATACAATTATTAATACCAATCGTTCAAATACCGAATTATATAATTTAGATAAAGTGCCCCCCCCCCCGCAAATGCTGGATTAGATGGTTTGATGATTTTCTTTATTTCTGCATTCCAAAATCTTATTAATTTCAATTACAATCCAGCCACCATCATAATCCCTCAGACAACAACTGCAATATTAATAAACTTCTATTCGTGTGGACACATTAAATGATTTCTACAAGTACAAGTGAGGAACTCAAAACTAAATCCTTGTTCTTCCTGGTTGTGGCAATTATTCTGTCCGTGGTGTTTCTTCCTGGTCCTGTAAGATGTCTTTCCCCCCGGCTGTTGCTATTATCCATCATGCCTTGGGCAGAGCTGATATCCCATTGCTGCTGATTTAAGAGGGGAAGGGCTTTTAAGGCCCTTCCCTATGCATTGCAGTACCACTGAATAAAAAGGCAAAGGTAAAAGTAAAGGATGCCTGGATGGTTAAGTCCAGTCAAAGGCAACTATGGGGTGCGGCGCTCATCTTGCCTTCAGGCTGAGGTAGCCGGCGTTTGTCCACAGACAGCTTTCCGGGTCATGTGGCCAGCATGACTAAACCACTTCTGGCCCAACGGGACACCGTGACGGAAAGCAGAGCGCACGGAAATGCCGTTTACCTTCCCGCCGTAGCGGTACCTATTTATCTACTTGCACTGGTATGCTTTCGGACTGCTAGGTTGGTAGAAGCTGAGACAGAGGAATGGGAGCTCACCCCATCATGTGGATTCAAAATGCCGGCCTTCTGATTGGCAAACCCAGGAGGCTCAGTGGTTTAGACCACAGCGCTATCTGCTCCCCTAAATATCACCCCTGAATATCACCCTATGTCCCAGCATGTTATTTGCTCCAGGAGAGAACTTTCCATTGGTACCCATTTCCCTCACAGGGCTGCAATTCCCAGAGCAGTTTAACCATCGATCCCTGGGGTCCTCTAGGAATCGTAGCTCTGAGAGAGAAAGAGGTCTCTTTCAAACATCGGAAGACTTATTTCCAGGCAAAACACGATACATCTCAATTGGGACAGCGGACTTACACCACCTCCACCCCCACTTGCAAACATGGGCTTTACTTACATCCATAGAAGGCTCTGGAAATAATCTGTTTCTTCATGCTTTGGCATAACATTTTTAGAGGGGTCCTGTTGAAAGGAATATCCAAAGGCTTTAAACTGACAAATGCACATGTTAAAATTTATTTTTAGAAGAAACTTCTCAACAACCTGACGAGAAGAGATGGGCTTGTCGCTGTCTCTTAGCCTGAAGTCCAGCTAGCAAAGGTGCACGGCTGAGTGGGGACTGAACTGGGGGGGGGGTCACCTTGGTCGTCATCTGCTACTCTGGCTCGACATTGTCACCTGCTCCCTTTAACCACCTAGATGACTGGATTGACCAGAGGCAGAGGAAGCCGCTCGGGCGCCTGGGGCGGCGCGCCCAGGGGCAGGGCGAGCCGCCCATAAGGCAGGGTGCACCACAGGGCCTCTGGAGTCTGCCTGCTTCCTCCCACTCAGCCACCGTACAGCTGGGGGGGGGTGAGGAGGCGGTGGGTGGACCATTTGGGCAGCGCTGAGCCTGCATGCTTCCAAGCCACAGCGACTCTCCCAGGAGAGACGCGTGGCTTGGGCGCGCTGCAGGCCCCGCAGTGAGTTCCACCTGGCACTTTGTCACCCCCCCTCAGTGGTAACACCCGGGGCGGCCTGCACCCACCGCACCCCCCTTCCTCCGCCCCTGGGATTGACAACATCTCAATAGACTTGTGTGTCAGGTTTTTTAAGATTGTAAGCCTGAGTGCAGAGATGGTCCTAATAATGGATACAGTGGTACCTCGGGTTACAGACACTTCTGGTTAAATACGCTTCAGGTTACATACTCTTCAGGTTACAGTCTCCGCTAACTCAGAAATAGTACCTCGGGTTAAGAACTTTGCTTAAGGATGAGAACGGAAATCGCGCGGCAGTGGGAGGCCCCATTAGCTAAAGTGGTACCTCAGGTTAAGAACAGTTTCAGGTTAAAACGGACCTCTGGAACGAATTAAGTTCTTAACCCGAGGTACCACTGTATTTTAAACTGCTCTGGGAACTTTTTTTTTTTACTAAAGGGAGAGGATGCAATCACCATAAGTAAATAAATAACAGAATGGTGCCTTCAAGGTTAAGTTTGCCTTCAGATTAATTTCCTGGATTGGCAGATTCCATAAAATAATGCTTTTTTGAAAATGAAATGAAATGAAATGAAATGATAAATGGAAGTGTTCACAGAAATTGCAGATGGCTTTAAATCTTAAAGGTCAGATTGCAGATGGCTGCTGTAAATGAAATGAATTTATACACAGAGAAATATACGTTATAAGCAAACATTTAAATGTTTGATACGGAGATTTTAGAGATGATTCATACATTTATTTAAAGAAAATAGATGGCTATTCAATATATATCTCATCGTATCTTTGAAAATATATAGCTGCACTGTTAAAGGTTTTGTATTAAGGTGTCACAGGAATATCAAAAGGTTTATGTTGCATTATATGATATTCTTGTTAATATTTGTACTATCATTTAGAGTTTGCATGGTGCGTGTGATTTCTATATTCATTTTTTTAAAAAAAATATTTATTAGAAACAGAAAAAAGAAAAAAAACTGCAGATGGCAAACACTGACCTAGAAGAATTTACAGAGGGGAAACCCTGTTGTTTTTTACTGCAACAGACTTAAGAGTCTTGTGGAACCTTAAAGATGAACCTATTTATTATGGCATAAGCCAGGCACCCCCAAACTCTGCCCTCCAGATGTTTTGGGACTACAACTCCCATCATCCCTAGCTAACAAGGCCAGTGGTCAGGGATGATGGGAATTGTAGTCCCAAAACATCTGGAGGGCCGAGTTTGGAGGTGCCTGGCATAAGCTTTCATTGATTACAGTCTGCTTCATCAGATGCATGGTGCAGCTTCTGAGTTTATCATTGGAGGTGTGTGTGTTGTAAACAGTGAGGTCAAAAAGAAAGCACACAGACAGTGCTGATTACGTTAATTTTGCTTTTCTGTGTTCTCAACAGTTTTGTGATTTAACCCTTGTCAATCATGCGATTGCCGCCAAACCGTGCATGCTGGCAATGAGGGATGGGGGAGAGATTGAACTCAGTAGGCACTTAAAGCACAGATCTGTAAAATCTGCACTTTCCAAAGCAGTATGCAAACTGAAACGCCAACTATTCTTTGATATTTGCACTAACAGAGAGAGCCCCCCAAAAGCAAGGTCAACACCTGGGCAATTGATTTCACCTGTCGTGGATGCAGGTGCAGCAGCTGGGAACGTCGTAAGGGGAGCTGCCGGTGGAGCACGAGAGGCAGGAGGACCCCTGGCTGCACGGGTCCAGCTGCCACGACAACAAGCTGGCCCCAAACCCCTGCATCTCTGACGTGTCGCCGATATCTAGGCAAAAGAGAGAAATGGAGGGGAGGAGAGGGAGAAATATTTAGCGTGATACGAAGCCTCGGAGCAGATCATGCGTCCTTTGGGCTTAGATTTGAACAAGGACAGGGAGGGAAGAGGAGAAATACGCTGCAAAGATTTGCAGTGTGCTTCCCCTTCGATACCCCCCCCAACCAACACCAACAAGTCGCAACACTTTGATTTCTCCCTGCTTCTGTTTTGCTCCATTAGGGGCAAATATATCTAGAAAAAGAAAAAGGAAACATTGTGACTCTGATTCCGTAAGGCACAGTCAGCATGGTGCCCTTCCAGATGTGTTGGACTACAACTCCCATCATCCGCAGTCAGATGGCTCGTAGTCGGGGACGATGGGAGTTGTAGTCTGTGGCATCTGGAGGGCACCAGGCTGGGGAACCGCCACCCCTTTATTTCCCCTCCCTCTTTTTAAACCGGATGATGCCTTTCATAAACGACTGGCTGTCAGCTCATCCATGATGTCCATTAAGGCAAATGGCTTGGGCCCAAACCAGGCAGCCGTACGGAAAACATGCAAGCAAGAGGCGGGTTGGCGAGGTTATCTCCCCACAGCTGCGCTTTCAGATTTTGGCAGGAAAGGGTTAGAAAATAAGAACGGAGGAGGAACTCCAAAACATGCAACTTGGCTAGCCGACACAGCGTGTATTCACGTTTCCAAAAAGTGCCCTATTTCAGGGTGGGGTTGGAGCAGTTAATGGATTCAGCTATTATTGCAACAGAAAGTGTTAACAGAAAGGTATATGGGTTGGATCGGAGAATGCGGTTAGTGTTATCCAAAAAAGAGAGAGAGACAGAGAGATGTTATGTTCATGCTATAGAAGCCAAACTCCATTAAAGCAAAAGCGAGCAGGGAGGATAAAAAATGCTCTTCACCTTAATTCTTCAGGAAGGAGCTGAACAAGCCAGTATTTATGGCAACTTCCCCCACCCCAAATCCATTTGGCCAACCAATCTTAAAGGGGTGGGGAGTGTGGTTTGGGTTTTTCCTCCCCTTCTCCCCCCACCCCTCCACAAGACAAGAAAAAGACATCTTTGGAAGGTCTTTATTGATTAAAAGAAACCGTATCCTTTTAAGGTGAACCCCACAGAACCTAAGAATTCAGATGAAAGGTACCAGAACTGGTGAAGAATTAGAGTGAACAGCATCTTCAGAAACGAGAGCTCATTTTTGTTTGTTTTTGCTTTTTGCTTTTCGTTTTAAATCGGGTTTCCGCAAATCTTCCTGATCAATGGCCAGATTTTCAGCCGCATGCAAGAAATGTCAAAAGGGGGTGGCAAGGAACTCAAAAGCAAAATGGAGAGCGAGGTGGGTGCAAGAGTGCTGTCATTATGCTGTCCAGAGGAATGGCCAAGGCGCCAGGGGTAGGCTGGGTAAGGAGGGACTCTGGACTTCAAGGTCTTATGGCGTCTGCTTAAGTAATGTGCATTGCTTGGCAGAACAACCTGTCAGTTTTCTCATCCTTGGTCCCAGTGTTGCCTCTTGTAGCAGGGAAGAGGAGGGAGACAAAACTAGCATGAGTTGGCTCTGCCTGTCATTGGCTCTTGCGCCACCTACTGTTGGGCTCCTTGCCTTCTGTCCCATCATTTCTGATGTGCACTGGGCTCCTCTATAAACATTCCCCGTACACCGAAAACTAGGAAGCCAGGGAGACTTAGTCTTCTTCCTGACATGCTAATTTTATATGTGCATGGATTTTCTTCCGTTTATCCCTAATAAATCATGTTCCTGATACTATAGATTTATTTATTTATGAGAGAGAGAGAGAGAGAGACTGACTTTGGGGAAATTTCTTTAAAAAAAAATATTTATTTTGCTTGTTTGCAATCAGATTTATATCCCGCATTTTCCTCTCTCCAAAGAGAGATAAGCAAAGTGGCTATAGAAAGCCTGCAGGACAAAACAAAAAATAACCCAATTTAAAATGAGGTAGAAGTATGGCAGTCCTGGCTGCCAATGTTGCTACTTTTCGGGTGTTTTGGAGTGCCCCACCATCAGCTCTATGGAGGGTGTGTGTTCTGGATGCCACGTGGCTCTTGCGCACATGCATGTAGGTGTGTGGGGCTATTGACATGTAGGTGCACATGCGGGTTGGACTAGATGACCCTGGGGGTCCCTTCCAACATGATTCCATGCCCTTCCCTGCTTGCTCATCCAGATAGCAAATGTTGCTGACCGAGTGCGCTGGAGTGACAAAGCACCAGGCCATAGGAGGACAAAGCAACCTCAGTCCTGGGGTGGGGGGAGAAATGTGGCCCTCCAAGCTTCTCTGTTCGGCCCTCAGAACTCAAGCCAGGCCACACCCTTCACTGGCCCTACTTCACATCACCCCTGTGTGTTTTCTGCCTGGCTGGGATGTGTCTTTGAACTCTTGATCATGCCTGTTGCTTGCCTGCACACAGGAGGGTATATCTATAGAAACTAGCCCACTGTACAACAGGTAGCATGACTGCCTGTCGCTCCACCCCCTTTTACCTCTGGCCACGCCCACCACGAGCATTTGACCCCCAGAGGTGAATGAGGCCCTCAGGCTACAAATGGTCCCCCATCCGTGTTGGAATAGGATGGGAGGACAGAGGCTCAGGCTTTGTTCTGGCGCCCCAATTGCCTTCTTCACCGTTTTGCATCTGCCCAGATACCAGTTGTCGGAGCCAGACTGTGGACAGATTCAGACATGCGGTAATGGTTGTTATGGTTCTGGACAGTCAAGAGTTAACACTCCGGAAGTGTTCTTATTAACTGGGTGCACTGCCCACATGATCTGGGCATTTTCCTTTGATCTGTGCTCTGTGGGGGCTGAGCTCTCTCTGGAGAGCAGTCTATCTCAGAATGTGAGCAAGGTAGTTTCATTTTTGTTAGAGACAGAAAGCTGCAAACATGCAGCTAGATTCTGTAGGTTTTCTTTTCTGTTTGTTATGCTTCTAAATAAAGAGTGTTAGAATAGAAGCACTGGTGTCGAGCTGAGTTATTGAAGACACCACGTCGACACAGACAAGCCATTTTACGCGGCGTGTGAACTCTGCTATTATCCGGCAACTGAGAAGAGTGGCAGCGCGCGAGTGGAAGCGTGTGGGCGCCATTGAAGGTTGTCGGAGTGGCAATAAATTCAGATTTATTGCAGGGCCGTTGCAGCAGACTCAGTGGGTCAAAGGGTTTACGACCCACAAACTTTAACAATGGTTTTCCTGGAGTGGAAACTGGAGACCTGCGTGCCACCATCTTTGGCAGGGGTGGGAAGCTTGCGGCCCTCCAGATCTTGCTGTGATACAACTCCCATCGCCTTCGGTTCGTTTGCTATGGGTGTTGGGAGTGCATCTGGAGGGTTGCAGCTTCACCACCTACAGTATAAGCCTGGGCTTTGAGTAATGCTGGTACGAGAAAAGGCATTTGACCCCCAAAAAAGGCTCGACTCAAAGTATTTATATCAGGCCTGACCAATCTGGAGGCTTCACATAGGCTGCCAATCAGGAGGCCCAATGTTATACGTTTCCGAGCACAATTCAAAGTGTTGGTGCTGACCTTTAAAGCCCTAAACGGCCTTGGTCCTGTATACCTGAAGGAGCGTCTCCACCCCCATCATTCTGCCCGGACGCTGAGGTCCAGCGCCGAGGGCCTTCTGGCGGTTCCCTCATTGCAAGAAGCAAAGCTACAGGGAACCAGGCAGAGGGCCTTCTCGGTAGTGGCGCCAAGATGGCCTCCTTGCAATTCCTCTGACCCGGAAGAACGAGCATCAAGGCTGCAGCAATGCCAGCACCGTTGCACGTTGCGTGCGAGTGTGAGAAAGTATGTTTTGCTCTGGAGCTGCCAGGGGGTGGGGATGAAGAGGGAGTGCGGTTGCGGGGGGAGAAGGATAAAAACCTTTCATCCTTTTAGGATCTGTGAGGTTCCGATTGCAGATCATGGATAGCATTGCGTGCAGCTTGTCTTCGTCGTCCTCGTCATCGTCGACGGAGGCAGAGCGGCTGGCAGCTAAGTGGTGGTAGTTAATAGTTACTGCTCAAAGAAAATAGTGAAAGAGGAATAAGAAAAACAAAACGGGCATTGGGATCCACCAGTCAAGCTTTGAAAGGACATGTCTGAAGCAAAGGGAACCGGGTCCTCCCCTCCACAAGGGGGCACACACAAGATTCTGACATCATGGATTGGTAGGAAGGCCACCTTCCAACCAAAGGCCCATTCATCCATCGCTAAGAGCCGAGCATGAACGGCGCAACAGCTGGGGTTGGTGCTTCCAAAAGCTGTCGAAAGATGGCTTGCCTACTCAGCCAGTCAAGGAAGACTGCACACAATTGTATACATCCCCCCACCCTCAATGTCACAAACAACCTTCCAGAATCACAGATTTGTAGAGTTGGAAGGGACCACAACATCCTCTAGTCCAACCCCCTGCAATTAAGGAATCTCAGCTAACACATCCATGGCATGATGAATCATTGGACTACAACTCCCATCATCCCTAGTCACTAACCATGCTGGCTGGGATTGTTGGTTTTGGGAGTCCATCTGCATCTGGAGGGTTGCAGGTTCTCACTCCCTGTGGTAGATCCTTCAATTTTATTTTATTTTTATTTTTAAAAAGAGAGACGCACGCTACCAATGACTGCATTGAATGCTACAACTCACAATTTTCTGTACGTGATAATTTCTCATGGAAAATCAAATGCAATGCCAATTTGCTGGTAAGTCTCTCTTTTTTTAGACTAATTGGGTTTTTATTGTATCATATGTTGAAAAATCTTAACAAAATTGATATAAAAATAGAAGGCCACAGGTTCCCCATCCCTGACGATAGTTCATTAATTATTATTTTTTAATGGCACTGAATTTTATGGTGTGATCTATTTTTACGTTGACTCGAGGGCAATTTAAGCCAAAAAGGAACGGTGCGAATGTTCTAAATAAGATTAAGAACTTCAAGGAAATCCGCAATGTCGCTGCTACCAAAGAAATTACCGTCATCTACGTAAAATGAAAAATCAAAACAAAGGAGTTTCTTACTGTTGTCGTGCCTATGGCCTGGGTAAATGATCCTGAAGACGTAATCTGCAGCCGTCTCCATAGCCACTGGCATTTCTTCCAGATCCACAGACCTGTTGTGGGTGTTCCGTTTCCGGAGTTTGGGGAAAACTTTGCCCTACAATGTAAAACAGGGCAATCCGACAGGATGTAACTCACAGAGAGGCTGTAGTAGAGAGTTCTAAATCGCTCTCTCATGACACTAGATCTCAAGGGGTTACCCAACAAAGCAGTATATCCAGGGCAGGCCAAAGGAGGACTTCCTTGCAAGATGTGGAAGTCAATTGCCGGAAGAGGTGGCTAATGGAGCAGGGCGGTCTCTTTATCAATGGCTAAGATGAAACCTCCATGTTCAGAGGCAGCGAGTACCAGTTGCTAAGGAGCAGCAACTATCGTAGAGGGCAATATAACCTTCAAGACCTGATGGGGGGCTTCTGAAGAGCATTCGGCTGGCCACTATGAGAATAGGCTTCTAGCTTAGATGGCACTTTTGTGCAATGTAGCAGGGCTCTTTTTGGCCTCTCATGGAGAAGGAGGAATGGTCTATCTTGCTCCGGCAATTTCTGATGTGCAAGAGGGGGCGTGCCATCAGTTATACAGCCATAATGGCACCCCCACACATGAAAACACAAAGGTCTGGGAAGGCTTGGAAATCCTGGGGTTTGCCGATTGCATCCTCCAACAGTCCAAAGAGGACCGAGCCTGTTCAGAATGCTGACTAACTGCGGGTGGTGGACTGGACTGGATATCCTGGAAAAGGGCACAGCTGGGTGGCTGGCTCCCAAGCAGCAACGCTCCACCCTGCAGTGGAGCAGTTCTCAGCAGCTGCTTGCCAAAATGCAACCTCCCCCTTCATGAAATATAACCGAGTACTAGTTGGTTGGGTGATGTGCATAGCCGTCGAGAGCTGGGAAGCATATGGTTGGTCGAGACTGGAAGAGAGACCCTGATTGGACACACCAGAGTGGGGAACTAGGCAGGTCGATGGGGCCGCCCACCTATCAATTGCCGCTTGAAATTAAACAGTCCAGGTATAAGCAAGCTTTGAAGGCCCAACAGGGAGCCGATTGCTGGGCCTGCAAAGCACCTCGCACAACTCATGGGGACTCTGCATGGATCCCTACAGGTGCCGCTGATAGATGGGGAGCCTGTGACTCTACAGATGCTCCTGGACTACAACTCCCATCATCCCTCTCCATCAGCCATGCTGGCTGCTGTGGCTGATGGGAACTGGAGTCCAGTGACATCACGAGGGCCGGAGGTTACCCATTACTGTCCTGTCAGGTCCATATGGAAGGCGTTATTTGCCAGGCTAGAGGGCTTACCTTTCCCTGCTGGGACCACAGTGGAGGCTCCAACTGTCCACGGGGCAGAAGGCCGTTTTCAAGGCAAGAGAGGAAGGCAAGGAGGTGTCCGCCAGGCGGGAAGTGAAGCGGGGGCCGTTGGATGCCATCTTGGCTCACCAGAACCAGCGTCGCCCCTCGCTCTGCTGCAGGAATGAATATGCCTCAATGTTAGCTCTGTTTACGTAAGTCAAGAGGAATCTAAGTAGAGTGGTTAATGTGGGGGGGGGGGGGAAGCCTGGCACATTCCTACCAGGCCTCAGGGAGAATGTGCACATAATCTTTCCATGAAGCACATTTCCTGGTCAGTATTCATATTTCCCAAAAGGCTTTGGAGAACGTGCATATTGCGACTGAATTTTGTACATTCTCTTGTCATTGTGCATAATCCCCAACAAGCCTTGGAGAATGTGCATAAGTGTTTGACCTCCCCAGGGTGCAAGCCTGGGCAGTGTGTATGGAGGTCCTGGGCTGCCCAGACAACAAGACCCCACCTCTCACCCTCATTGTGACTGAATTTTGTACATCTCTGGGCAATATGCATTTTCTCCAGTCAATGGGAAGGCGTGTTGTGGGCCATGTAAGACTAGGCAGCGGAACAGCAGCAGCCTGAGGAGTGAAGACTGCACACTGCTGAACAAGAAATTGGAAAAGGTGGCATGTGTCTTGGGGAATCTGCATACTGACCGGAGAAAGTGCATATGGTCCAGAGATTCCCCAGATTCCCCATGAGTAAGAGCGTATGATGCTTACGTTGCTGATGGCAGTGGATGCACACGATTTGGCTAAATGGCACAATCAAGGCATAGTCCCAGTAGATGCTGAATGCATGTAATAAGATAAACAAACAGAAATACAAGAGGTGATCATTTCTTCAAGGCCCTGTCAATCCAACATAAATTTGTTTAATTACTAATAAAATAAATAAATAAAAATTGTCCAGTAGCACCTTAGAGAACAACTAAGCTTGTTCTGGGTATAAGCTTTCGTGTGCATGCACACTTCTTCAGATACTTGTTTAATTACTGTTTGGTGTAGTGGTTAAGAGCGGTAGTCTCATAATCTGGGAAACCGGGTTCGAGTCTCCGCTCCTCCACATGCAGCTGCTGGGTGACCTTGGGCCAGTCACACTCCTCTGAAGTCTCTCAGCCCCACTCACCTCACAGAATGTTTGTTGTGGGGGAGGAAGGGAAAGGAGAGTGTTAGCCGCTTTGAGACTCCTTAAAGGGAGTGAAAGGCGGGATATCAAATCCAAACTCTTCTTCTTCTTCTTGATTGATTGGCTAATAATTGAAGCTTTTGTCAAGGCAACGCACAACACACAAAATTAGTATCAGCACAAAGCACCTGCTTTGGGGCTAGAGCAGTGGCGTAGCGTGGGGGGTGCAGGGGGGGCCGGCCGCACCGGGCGCAACATCTGGGGTTAGGGCAAATCCATGGGTTAGGGGGCGCAAATCCACAGGTTAGGGGGCGCAAATTACTTGCCTTGCCCCGGGTGCTGACAACCCACGCTACGCCACTGGGCTAGAGGGGTTTTGCACATGTCCCTCTCTGCCCTCTGCCCAGGTGAGAAAGAGGCAGGATCAGGGTTCAAAGACACAGCCTAGCCTAGGGAGCCACAAAGCAGAGCCAGGGAGGGGTGTGGCCTGCAAAGAGATCTGAAGGCCAGTGTCAAAGTGTGACCCAGCAGTAAATCACACCATTCAAAGCTGAAGTTAACTCTTTATTAACAGAAGCAAGATCTTCCCAGATTTGGCAGGAGATCAAGCAGCTCATTCCTAGTAGTCTTACTCCATGAAAATCAGAGAGTAAAGGCCTCCACCTCCCACATCTGTTTATGTCTCCTCCTCTCCAGGACCTTCCCCAAGCAATCAGAGACTGTGCCTGCATGTAGCCTGCCACCGCTCCACCCATTTCAGCCCTATTCTGGTACTGGGAGACTAGGGGGAAGGGGAGCTTGTCGCAACAGGAAGGAGAGACACCAGGGTCTCTTCACCAGCCAGACTCCCCTCTGCCTCTTGACCTCCCTCCTCTCCTGCTTCAGCTTCTGCCTCTGATTCTGGACTTCCCTCTACCACCAATTCTCCCCGCTCACTAAGCCCTGTTACCCCTCATCTTCCGAAACCACCTCCTCTTCCCAGTCTTCTCCCTCTTCTCCCTCATTGTCAGCCCACCACCACTCCCCGGGCTCTGAGTCTTCTTCCCTTGGGGGTTCCCCAGCTGGTTCCTTTCACCATTCCTATGTGTCCAGCCAGTCTGTGACAGCCGGGCAGAGAGCCCTGGGAGGACCACATCTGCACTCCCCTCCCAGGCCTGAGGTTCCCCAATGGTGCATTACAGCGAATGGGGCGCTTGCCCCAAACAAGCACAGTCTGCTCTCAGCCAGCCCCCCGCCTGCCAGACTTCTTTCTTACACCCAGCGGTCGCAAGGGCCACTACTGCGTCTTACCTTTTCTCAAGCTCCGAGTCCCCCAGCGTCCCATTCATGAGCTGGTTCGGCGTCCATTTCAGAGTCAGGGAATCGGCCGACTGGTGGAGAGAGAGGTAGCCCGGGATGGCCTCCATGTCATCTTTCTGTTTGGGAAGCCGGCCAAATAATAAGGAGAGGAAATGGTTTAGGACAAATGTAGGAGAAAGAGAGCAACGTACGCAAAAACGAGAAGGCCCTGGTCAGCCCAGGCACTGAGGTCCAGCTCCGAGGGTCTTCTGGTGGTTCCCTCCCTGCGAGAAGTGAGGTTACAGGGAACCAGGCAGAGGGCCTTCTTGGTAGTGGCACCCGCCCTGTGAATCACCCTCCCATCAGATGTCAAGGAAATAAACAACTATCTGACTTTTAGAAGACGTCTGAAGGCAGCCCTGTTTAGGGAAGTTTTTAACATTTGATGTCCTATTGTGCTTTCATATTCTGTTGGGAGCCGACCAGAGTGACTGGGGAAACCCAGCCAGATGGGCAGGTATAGATAATAAATTATTATAATATTATTATTATTGAGGACACTGCTTCTGCACATCCCATCCCCAAAGGGCCTCAAACCTTTCAACAGCACGGCTTTGAACTGGAAAGAAACTGGGAGCAGGCGAGGCCCTGGGCTGCACATCAGAAAGCAGGCAGAGAAAAAGTCTTTTGCTCCCTCTCTCATAGCACTAGAACATTTTCCTCCAAGAATTGATCTAATCTTCTATTAACGCCACCCAAGCCATTAGTCATCGCTGCCTCCTCTGGGAGAGAGTCCCGCAATTTAACTATGCCCTGACTGTGCGAAGAAGGACTTTATTTCATCAGTCCTGAATCTCCCGACATCCAGCTTCCTTAGATGTCCCACCAATTTTATTGTTAGGAGAGAGGGAGGTATAATGTTTCTCTGTTTCTTGTCCTCAACTTTGAATGCACAGCCAGCTTCCAGGCAGCTGTGAAGGATCAGTAAGGCTGCGAGATGGCCTGTTGAGCACAGCAAAGAGAAAGAGAGCGAGGGAGAGGAAAGGGGACCAAAAATAGGAGACGTGTGATGTCAAAGCCAGGGTCTCCTTGACCCAGGTACCTAGATGTAAATGAAGCCAACATTCTGGTCTTCCCTTCATTGACTTGCACGAATTGGTGACTCATCGCAATGCTTCCAACCCTCTCTGTCCTGTTTGTGACTCATGTCTTTAAATGAATTCCCTTGTCAGTGTCCACTTCATATCTTTTAATTCTGACGTGAAGCGGCACATGTCCCCAGCTGGCTTGTGATGATGCACTTAACAGCCAAGATTCTGGAGAGATCGTGATATTGGCAAACGAGGTGAATTAATATATACCCCTCGCCAGACTCTTTTCTCTCCTTCAGTACATTATTGGGATTATCAAGGCAACAGGCTAAAAGTGACTTACCTTGGGTTCATCTGCACTGCACATTTAAAGCAGTATCATACCACTCTGAACAGTCATGGCCTGCCCCTAGAGAATCCAGGGAATTGTAGTTTGTTGAGGGTGCTGAGATTTGGGAAGAGGCCCCTATTCCCCTCCCAGAGCTACAATTCCCAGAGATTCCCGTGGAGAGTTATTTGGGTGAAGTCCCAGCTGCTTAAAGGGGTTTGATACTGCTTTAAAGGTACAGCAGGGCTGGGCAACATCTGGTTTCCAGCATTGCGATATATCAGCAGCTAAATACGCAATATGCTGATACGGTGGAATCTTGGTTCTTGAATGGCTTAGTTGATGAACAAATCGGCTTCCGAGCGCCGAAAACCCGGAAGTAAGTGTTCCAGTTTTCGAACGTTTATCGGAAGCCAAACGTCCGACGCAGCTTCCGCTTGAGTGCAGGAAGCTCCTGCAGCCAATCGGAAACCGCGCTTTGGTTTTCGAATGGTTTCGGGAGTCAAATGGACTTCTGGAATGGATTAAGTTTAAGAACCAAGGTTCCACTGTATATCACAGTATGGAATGAACCACAGCTGCTTCTTTCTCTCCACCTTAGGGAAGGAAGAAGCAGCTGAGATGCCTCACCTAGCCCTACTGAACAAGCCCCCATACCTCTCTCTAGCTCACGCAAGTCAGGGGGCAGGATCTGTATGGGGGCTTGCTGTATGGGGGCTGGGAACAGAAGCAGGATTCCTGGCACGGTTTCCTCTTTCTAACACCAATATGAAATGTCACCCCAGGCAGATGTGCTCCTCTGCCCCACGCCACACGATCCAAGCACTTACGGGCTGAACCAGGACGTTGTTCTTTCCATACAGCAAGTGCGTCCGGGAATTCTGGTGCAACGACTCGACGTAATCCCTAGCCGAGGCAGCAAAGCGATCCTCCGACATGCTTCCGCTGGAGTGCCGTTTCCGTATCTGGGGTGGGGAAAACACGTAAGGATACCGTTGCGTTGGCTGCAATGGGCAACTGTGAATAACCTCCTACTTTGTTGAGAGAGGCGGCCTCACATTAATTATATTTTCATTGTTAAGTTGTGGTTATTCCTTGGCTTTACCCTAACCCAGGGTTTCCCAAGCTTGTGTCTCCAGTTGTTGTTTTTTTGGACTATAACTCCCATCATCCCTTGCTAGCCATTGCCTGATCCTGTCCCCCTGGCCATGCTGGTTCAATGGGCAATGGTGATACAAGACACCAAAGAGAAGTGCCCTTTTCTGGGGTGGGAGAAACATCAAAAGCTTCGCCCCATATTAGATTTCCGAAAGAGGAACAGCATCACATTTCGCAGCAAGGCCGCCATCTGAATTCCTCAGAAGGAAATCCTATTGAATTTGATGGGCTTCACTGTCCAAGGAAGAGTATTCAGAAGTCCAGCTATATTTTAGTGTTCAGTTTTATGCTTTTGTAATAATAATAATAATAATAATAATAATAATAATAATAATAGCATGCCACCCATCTTCTAAATCTCTGAAAGTCATCAAGAGTGCATATTTTGTGACTTTCAGAGATTTAGAAGATTTCTGTTTATTTGGTTTTGCAGAGAGTGCATATTTCATATATTTCATATTGTTCAGTGTTCTGTATAGATTATATAAAGTGTTTATATTGACATTACATTGTGGTACTTGGTCATCATGTTGCCTTTGGATATTACTGATCCCTATATGGAACAGATGCATATTTCTTTCCAGCTCTACAATTCAATGATTCTATAGTATTTCCAGTCTGATGGGGCGGGTGCCCCTAAGGAGTCCCACTACACTTCCAAGGATTCGTGGGGTAGAGCTGAGCTTCAAAAGTGCCCAAAACATACAGTGTGCATGCGGCCTAAATGGGTTATAACCACGTTTGCCACACCCTTCCAGATATTCTGGACCTCAGCTCCCATCATCTGGCTGGGCCTGATGGAAGCTATAGCCCCAAAACATCTGAAGGGCCATGGGATGGAAAAGGCTGCGCTGCCACGTCAGGGAGAAAAAAGGACCCACTCCTAACGCCGGCCGTTTGGACGGAGAGTCTTGCCGGCCGTGGGCTCCGTGGATGCGATGCCGTTGGACCAGTTCGTCGGCCGAGGGGTCTGTCCAGAAGTGGTCAGCTGTTTTCAGCTTGGTGTATTCCAGGGCACAGGGTCCAACTGAGAACAGACCAAAGAGAGAGAGAGAATGGAATTGGGAAACTCATTTGGGGTGGAAGAAAGCCAGTAGCTTCTCCTCAGCTAAAGAGATCTAAGCCAGTGATGGGGGCTTCAGATGTTGTGAGACTCCCTTGTGAGACAACCTTGACTACTGGGCCATACTGGCTGGGGCTGGTGGGATCTGGAGTACAATGACGTCTGGAGGACCTCATCCCTGGTCTAAAGGAAGAGGCAAATAAGTTGTTTCCCAGGTTATCTCAAATTTGGGTACTGCTTGATTTCCAGTGGCGGAAGAGCAACACTTTTCGCTCAGGGAAACTCTTCATCAATCAGGGTGGCAGGAGCTTCTTGATGGTGGCCCTCAGATTACACAACTAATTGCCTGTGGACGTCTGCCAAATCCAGCATCTTGGCCCTTGGCAAAACAGGATTTAAGTACCTATCAGCCTTTATATCAGGGACAGCTAATAATGGTGCCCTTCAGCTGCTGTGGACTACAACTCCCAGCATCCCTAACCACTGGCCATGCTACCTGGGGCTGATGGGAGTTGGAGTCCAACAATGTCTAGAGAGTCACAGGTTCCCCTACCCAGACCCAGCTCCATAGAACATATAACCCACTCCTCTTTTACCAGGAAAGGAAAATTGGGATTTTTAAATTGTTGATGCTGATGCCAAAAGCTTAGCCGTGCCTCGGATAGAGCCAATCGCTTCACGAAACCTCCTCTCCCTTCCTCTCCCCGAATCCTTGCTCCTTCCTTTGGTGCAATAGCATCACGTTTCTTGACTCATGTTCATCATCTGTGCAAACGCCTTTTCGGCGAACCACATGGGGACTGTCAAAACAGCGCTCTTCCAAAGCACACAGAAATAACATTTGAAAGATGCTCACCCAGCAGGCAAGCCAAGATGGGCCCACAGACCGGATCTGCCAGCAGAGCTTCTCTCTCGTAATATTTGCTGGAAGAGAGAAACCACACAAAACGACCGGCGATAAAATAACATTTACCTTTCAATGAAAAAAAGGAGCACGGGCGTTTAATGAAGTTTGCCGTGTGGAGGAGAGAGAGGCGCTCTTCCGGTTATTATTATTTAAACACAGGCCACGTTTTGAAAGGAGCAGAGCCTGAAACTAAAAAAGCAGGGCTGGCTTTTTTACACAGGGGCCCCTGCCTTCTATACCCTGGCAAAGCATTTGCTCCTTGAGCCTAGGGTTGCGTGCTCGGACTGGCAGCCGTTCTCCAGGCCAGAGTGAAGGCTGGTGCCTTACGGCAAATGGGAGGTCTGCCCCACCAACCTCAGTCTGCCCTCATACTTCTTAGCTCAGCTGTTTAGAGCAGGCACAGGCAACCTCGGCCCTTCGGGTGTTTTGGGACTACAACTCCCATCATCCCTGACCACTGGTCCTGTTAGCTAGGGATCATGGGAGTTGTAGTGCCAAAACATCTGGAGGGCCGAGGTTGCCTATGCCTGGCTTAGAGTGTGGGTGCTGATAATGCCAAGGCTGCAGGCTCTATCCCTGCATATTCCTATATCGCAGGTGGTTGGACCTGATGATCCTAAGGGTCCCTTCCGTCTAAAAGGTAAAGGTAAAGGGACCCCTGACCATTAGGTCCAGTCGTGGCCGACTCTGGGGTTGCAGCACTCATCTCGCTTTATTGGCCGAGGGAGCCGGCGTACAGCTTCCGGGTCATGTGGCCAGCATGACTAAGCCGCTTCTGGCGAACCAGAGCAGCTCATGGAAACGCCGTTTACCTTTCCGCTGGAGCGGTACCTATTTATCTACTTGCACTTTGGCGTGCTTTCGAACTGCTAGGTTGGCAGGAGCAGGGACCGAGCAATGGAGCTCACCCCATCGCGGGGATTCGAACCACCGACCTTCTGATTGGCAAGTCCTAGGCTCTGTGGTTTAACCCACAGCGCCACCCGCGTCCCCCCTTCTGTCTACAATTCTACATCCCTCTGATTCTATGGTGGGAATGGTGGCATTTCACCACTAGAGGGAACAGGAGTCCTCACTCTTTCCCCTAAGAGCGCTGATGTCATTCCCACCGCCCAGGAATATTTTCCTGGTTTTAAAAAAAGAAGCAGTGGGCTGCCTTTGCAACTCGGTGGCCTGCCTTGGCTGCTGCCCATAAGACCATTTTTTTACAAAAATGAAAGCGGCAGCATCAGCATTTGTTTGTACAGATTTGGGGGCAGAGCACACAGGAGCCTCTCTTGAAGGCATATTGTTAACATGGAGAGGGAACTGGCACAACGGAAGCCAGCTGCTCTGCATCGACCGGTGAGAAGGAAAGCATCGTCCCTAGTTCCAGGTGTATTGCTATTGATGCACAAAGATTATGCCCAATGCCAGAATAAAAGAAGTGTTTTAAAAAAATCTAATCTAAAAAGAAACAGGAGCAAAGAGAAGAGAAGCAAGATGGAAAAAAGAAACAGAAGAAAGGAAAATAAAATAGATAGATAGATGATAGATAGATAGATGATAGATAGATAGATAGATAGATAGATAGATAGATGATAGATAGATGATAGGTGATAGATAGATAGATATAGATAGATATAGATAGATAGATAGATAGATAGATAGATAGATAGATAGAGATGATAGATAGAAGATAGATAGATAGATAGATAGATAGATAGATAGATGATAGATAGATAGATAGATAGATAGATAGATAGATAGATAGATACAGTGGTGCCTCGCAAGACGAAATTAATTCGTTCCGCAAGTCTCTTCGTCTTGCGGTTTTTTCGTCTTGCGATGCACGGTTTCCCATAGGAATGCATTGAAAATCAATTAATGCGTTCCTAGGGAAACCGCCTTCAGACCAGGTCCGGGGACAGACTGTCCCCGGACCTCTTCTGAAGGTTGGGGGGGGCAAGGGCTTTTCTTCCCACCCCCAGCATTTTAAAAAACCCTGGGACAGCGGAGGACTTCTCCGCTGTCCGGGCGATCTTAAAATACTGGCGGGCGGCATTTTAAAATCGCCCCGGGACAGCGGAGGACTTCTCCGCTGTCCGGGGCGATTTAAAAGCCCCTGGGAAGGCAGGCAGGGGGGACAAAGACTTTCGCCCCCGCCCGCCTTCAGAAGGTGTTCCCGCCCCCCCCGCCCGGCTTCGCAGCAGCGCTACGAAGCCCGGCGGCTGGGGCAGGTGTTCCCGCCCCCCACCCGGCTTCGCAGCAGCGCTACGAAGCCCGGCGGCTAGGGCAGGTGTTCCCGCCCCCCCCACCCCGCTTCGGAGCAGCGTTCCGAAGCGGGGTGGCTGGGGCAGGTGTTCCCGCCCCCCGCCCGGCTTCGCAGCAGCGCTACGAAGCCCGGCGGCTGGGGCAGGTGTTCCCGCCCCCCCACCCCGCTTCGGAGCAGCGTTCCGAAGCGGGGTGGCTGGGGCAGGTGTTCCCGCCCCCCGCCCGGCTTTGCAGCAGCGCTACGAAGCCCGGCGGCGGGGGCAGGTGTTCCCGCCCCCCCCCACCCCGCTTCGGAGCAGCGTTCCGAAGCGGGGTGGCTGGGGCAGGTGTTCCCGCCCCCCGCCCGGCTTTGCAGCAGCGCTACGAAGCCCGGCGGCTGGGGCAGGTGTTCCCGCCCCCCCCCCCGCTTCGGAGCAGCGTTCCGAAGCGGGGTGGCTGGGGCAGGTGTTCCCGCCCCCCGCCCGGCTTCGCAGCAGCGCTACGAAGCCCGGCGGCTGGGGCAGGTGTTCCCGCCCCCCCACCCCGCTTCGGAGCAGCGTTCCGAAGCGGGGTGGCTGGGGCAGGTGTTCCCGCCCCCCGCCCGGCTTCGCAGCAGCGCTACGAAGCCCGGCGGCTGGGGCAGGTGTTCCCGCCCCCCCACCCCGCTTCGGAGCAGCGTTCCGAAGCGGGGTGGCTGGGGCAGGTGTTCCCGCCCCCCCGCCCGGCTTCGCAGCAGCGCTACGAAGCCCGGCGGCTGGGGCAGGTGTTCCCGCCCCCCCCCCCCCGCTTCGGAGCACCGGGAGAAGCGATCTCCCCGCAGCCCCTTGCTTCAAAAGAGGTCCGGGGGCAGACCTCTTTTGAAGCAAGGGGCGGTGGGGAGAAGCGATCTCCCCGCCGCCCCTTGCTTCAGAAGAGAAGACCCGCTGTCCCCGGGGCAAGCTTCGTTTTGCGAAGCAAGCCCATAGGGAAATTCGTCTTGCGAGGCAACTCGAAAACGAAAAAACCTTTCGTATTGCGAGTTTTTCGTCTCGCGAGGCGTTCGTCTTGCGGGGTACCACTGTAGATAGATAGATGATAGATAGATAGATAGATAGATAGATAGATAGATAGATAGATAGATGATAGATAGATGATAGATAGATAGATCTAGATCTAGATCTAGATCTAGATCTAGATAGATATAGATAGATACATGATAGATAGATGATAGATATAGATAGATAGATAGATAGATAGATAGACAGATAGACAGATAGATACAGATTAGATAGATGAGAGAGAGAGAGAAAGAAAGAAAGAAAGAAAGAAAGAAAGAAAGAAAGAAAGAAAGACTCAATCGAGTTGTGATTTTAATTTGTTTTAACTGTTTTTAACATGGCTTTTCAAATTAATATGGTCCATTCTGGGATCTTAGGGTAAAAGATGGGCAATAAATCAAAATTATTACTAATGATGAGAGAGCCTCCATTCATTGCTCTGCCCACTAGTGGCACGTGGCCTTCGGAACGTTGCCCAGAAAGGAATGCAACCCTCAGGCTGAAAAAGCCCCCCCCCCAAGCCATTGAAAGCTTTTTTTATAACGATAGCATGCGCCACTCATGGCTCTCTTTCCTTTTGCTCGTCCCTTACCTGCAGTTGTCCACCACGTACTGCACAATCTTGTCCAGCACCCTTTCGATCAGAGCGGTGCGAACCCAGATGTGCTTGACAGCTTGTGGGGTCAGGGCAGGGGCTTTGCTCGTGGTGGACGTCTGCCTCTTGAGGGATTCCTGGCCAGCCGGCTGAGTTCTCCTGCTAAAGAGAAATAAAGAAAGCCCGAAAACTCTCAAAAAAGAGAGGGTTTAAAAGCTTCATCGCAAACACAGGTTAATTTGTCTGGAGATGGATTGACAACTCTGTGCCTGCCTCAAATGCAAGGCTTGCATTTCCTCAAGGGGTCACTTTTGGGGGGAGAGCACCTGTAAATGCCTGGTAGCCATTGGCTAGTAGTCATTAACAGCCTTGTCCCTGATTTCGTCTAATCATCTTCAGAAGTCCTCCAAGCTGGTGGCCATCTCCGCCTCCTGTGGCAGTGAGTTCCACAGTTTATGCGCTCCAGAAGCTTCCTTCTATCTGCCCTGAATTGTCCAACATTTGGCTCCATTGGATATCTCCCTGTTCTAGCATTAGGCAGGTGTTTGAACCACACTTGTGATGTTGTTATGTTCACCTTGTGCTCGTGCGTTGACTGGAGCTACCATTTCCAAACCAGAAGGCCTAATTGGTTTTTGAAAGAGTGTCAAAGCAGCAGCTGATAGGAGAACATGCTAGCAGTAAAACAAGCCTTACTGACATTGGTAAACTAGTTTAAACAGGAGAGGATGGGGGGGGGGCGGCAAGGAAGAGGAGAAAAAGAATCCATCCGAAACATTTTTGCTCCCTCCTTCAATCTGCCGGACTATGGGGAAAGAAAATAAAAACCCTTATTTGTCTAGCTCAGCCTTTGACAATCTGGTGCATGCTCTGGACTACAACTCCCAGCAGTCCCTGGGAGCTGGGGCTGGTGGGAGTTGTAGTCCTAAACATCCAGAAGGCACCAGATTGCTGTAGGCTGGACTACCCCACCTTATTCTCACTTGACATAAACTAATAACCTGAGGAGTGAAAGAGGCGCTGGCTGATAGCTGAAACTCCTCGCTATATTCTCCAGCTTTCTTAAAGGTGACCTGAAAAGGGAAAAAAAGATGGATTCTTTTGAGACTTCTTGGGGGGGTTTTGTGTGTGAGCGTGCACATAGGCACACTTGGACTTTGGGGGGGTCATGCCTTTGGGGTTTGGGCCAACACAGACCAAACAGTCAGCACCTAGAACAGTGTGTTCCCAGGGAATTCTGGATTAAACCGGAACAAGTCTCAGAGGAGAAGGGGTGCGAGAGAGACCGGCTGCCCCCCCCATAACACCTTGCCAATTTCAGTAGCCTCCTAGAGCATTCACAAAAACAAAGGATGGCTTGTTTTTGACAGAAAGGATAAATATTGCTAAATAAACTATTGTTGTCCAAAATTAATGGTGCTGGAAAACTAATGGTACCTAATATAGCTATAATGGAGAAAATTATGCATAATTTGAGATTTTAGGGAGGACTAGAACACTTTTTTAAACGCTTTGGCATTATTTTCTGCTCAACCATCATTTTCAAGACAACCCTTGTCACTAGTTTAGCAATTCAGGAACTATACTTGATAATCTGATAATACCGATAGTCCTTATTTGGATTTTGTTATTTTAACCCCATGTTAAAACCCGAGCGACTGTACTCATTTCGTGTGCCTATTTTATAATTTTCTTTTTTCACCTTCTGATTTCTGTCTGCTGTTACAAGTTGTTCTCTCCATTTTATGTACGTTACAAAATGTTTGTTTGTTTTTTTAAAAAACACTCCCCCTCCCCTTTCAGCACTGATTTAATATCTGCTGCATAGCCATCGTGGAACCTTTTCACATCACCACACAGGCTATTTAAATATAAACTTGTTCAAAATGTGGCAGCACAGCTGAAGCAAATATTTAAACAGGGCAAGGAATAAAAGGACCCGAAAAACCTGTCTGAGATGACCTCTTAAGAGTGCAAGTAAGGTCTCTCTTAGCCTTGCAATGCGTGCCTGGGACCAGTCTGTTAAAATGTGCCCCTGCAAATTGGCATCAAGGCCAGGGGGGGGCATGAGAGTGCTGGGATCCTTGGCCGCTGCGCAAGGATAACGCTCCCCCCAACATAGCTGTCAACCTTCCCTTTTTTTGCGGGAAATTCCCTTATTCCAGCACCATTTCCCGCTGCTATCCCGGATTGTTAGATATCCCCAGGACAGGTGAGGCTGCTGATCCCTTATTTTCGAGGCTGCTGGTCCCCTATTTTCAAATCTGAAAGTTGACAGCTATGCCCCCCTGATGCCAGCCCTTTGCAGTGTGCAGAAATCAACACGCTCCAGTCTTTCAACTGAAAACCCTGCAGATCTAACTCCGGGACTGGGCTGGGGGGCGGGCGGGCGGGCAAACTCTGCAAAACAAGGTTTCGTCACTGAGCTGCGGACTCCCTTCGGAGGCGGACCTTAACCCTCACCTGCCTTCTACCTGCTGCAGCAGCTCCTGGGCTTTCTTGCACACGTCGCTGGCAACGTCGTACGTCTTGCCGACCTTGGTGAATAGGGCGGCGATCTTGTCGGTCCGCAGGAAGCCGGCTGCCCGTCTCTTGAGCATGTGCAGAAGGCAAGCTTCCACCACCCCTGGGAGGAGATGAGAAGGCAAGAGTGTTAAGGAGCAAACCCCACTCCGCTGGAGAGTTCTGTGGTCTTGGGGCAAACACAGGCTCTTGTTTAACAATAGGAGCAAAAGGACGGTGTAGTTCAGGGGTGGGTCTCCCCGGAAGCTCAGGGTGGATGGACTCAGTGGTCCATCAACCACAGCCAGGTATAAAATAAGAGCATGGATGGCGAAGGCTACAAGGCTACAAGATGGCGCTTCAGGGGGAGAAGCCAACAGCCTCACTGCATCCCATCCTAAGCTATTACCTGGGATGACCTGGGCGTACAAATGAAGAACTACCTCTGACTACCATCAGGCTCCCGTCGCAAAACACGACAGTGGCTGTTGTCCAGTGTTAGAAACTCAGGTGTATAAGCTAGGTGCCAAATAGCTCCTTAAAGGTAAAGGGACCCCTGACCATTAGGTCCAGTCGTGGCCGACTCTGGGGTTGCGGCGCTCATCTCGCTTTATTGGCTGAGGGACCCGGCGTACAGCTTCCGGGTCATGTGGCCAGCATGACTAAGCCACTTCTGGCGAACCAGAGCAGCGCACGGAAACGCCATTTACCTTCCCGCCGGAGCGGTACCTATTTATCTACTTGCTCTTTGACGTGCTTTCAAACTGCTAGGTTGGCAGGAGCAGGGACCAAGCAATGGGAGCTCACCCTGTCGCGGGGATTTGAACCGCTGACCTTCTGATCGGCAAGTCCTAAGCTCTGTGGCTTAACCCACAGACCAAGGTTAAAGTTGCCAAAACAGAATGTCTAGCTGCCATTTTGGGGCAAGACGGCTCTCAAGTCTTATTTTTTCAAATGATGGACTGACTGTGATTGATTCTCACGTTAAAAATCTGGCTAGTTCAAGTGGCGACCTAGAGCTAGGTTAAGAACTTTGACAACTTAAAAGAAGAAAAGTCACTTGATCCAGAGACATTGGCCTATTCCAACCTCTTTTTCTTAATGGTGATTGCTGCTGCTCAGGCTGCACAGAAAAAGCATTTTGGGTCCAGAAATTCATGCCCATTGTGCAGACAAAAAAAGAACAGATAGAATTCTAAGGGAGAGGGTATTAGTGTGTGAAAACCGTCCAGATCCAAGGATTCCCCAGGCACGCACCTCCAGATGGTGGAGATGTCAGGCTGGGACATCCTGGCACCCAGGCATCTTCACGTGGTCGATAGCCAGGTGCAAAATGCGCCAGGCGCCTGGCTCATTGCAAACACTGCTGCTGCTTGCAAGCAAGGAAGAGATCTTCATTCCGGCTGAGAGCAGGACAGGCCTAGCAAGGTCCAGAGGTCGAGATTCCAAGGCACACAATCAATGGAAGAGGTTCACAACCAAACAGAAGACATCCCAATAGTTGCCCCTCCCCTCCCGCCAAGCTTTTAAAGATGAGACCTCATGAGCAGGACCCTCTTGCCCAGATGGCCTGCTGTGTGCCCACATGTATGGCCCACCTGGGCAGGTGCATGAAGTGATCCCACCTATGAAGGCAGCGCCTGGTTCTCAGTGACAAGACAGAGCCCTGCTCCTTCTATTTCCTCCTTTTTTCCCCTATCTGAAGCTGCCAGGCCAGACCAGATCCCAACGGGGCAAAAGGCACCCCTGGCAACGAGAGATCAGGGATTCAAACGGGTCTGTTTGTGGCCCACGTAAATTTTCAGTGTGCCCATTCCAAAGCATAAAAGGTAAAGGTAAAGGGACCCCTGACCATTAGGTCCAGTCGTGACCGACTCTGGGGTTGCGGCGCTCATCTTGCTTTATTGGCCGAGGGAGCCGGCGTACAGCTTCAGGGTCATGTGGCCAGCATGACTAAGCCGCTTCTGGCGAACCAGAGCAGTGCACAGAAACGCCGTTTACCTTCCCTCTGGAGTGGTACCTATTTATCTACTTGCACTTTGACGTGCTTTCGAAATGCTAGGTTGGCAGGAGCAGGGACCGAGTGACGGGAGCTCACCCCGTCGCGGGGATTTGAACCGCCGACCTTCTGATCGGCAAGTCCTAGGTTCTGTGGTTTAACCCACAGAGATACCCTCTCCCTATTTCCTTGTGGGTCTGCCCAAAATCCCTTCCTGGAGCAACAAAAATAAAGGGGTCCCGCGGCAGACCAGGCGATACAGATTGAGATTCCTGAAGCGAGTGAGGTCAGGACCCCATCACTGCTTTTGATCACCCGGAAGCAAGAAGCGTTTAACAACTCTGAGGCACCGATAAAGAAGTCCGAAACGTGCTTGCAAAATTACTGGAGGCTGAATTTAGCTCTCCCACCCCCCACCCTTCACAATGAGTTCTCCTGCCGCTTCAGAAGATGCCCACGTATTGAATTCTGTAGTTACCAAGTGGACTGAGCTGCATCGCAATCTTGGCGCTTAACACCCACGGAAAGTTTCATCCATGATCAACCCCAGTTGATTGGTGATTAAATTCGGAAAGGGAAGAAAGAGGCAGGGAGCACAGACGTCTCAGAGACAGTATCCTCCGCCCCCCCCCCCCGTTGCTCCAACGCACAGGCTCCTCCAACCCCCACTGCCCTTCCAAAGAAAATGATAGCATAAAGCGGATTGCCTCTTTTCCAGATTGATCTGACCACAAGTGCTTGCCTTTGCCTGTGTCAATTACTGGGAGCAACCTCTGGGGAAAGAAACTCGCATTTTGCAGCCTTTAAAAAAAAAAGGAGGAGGAGGAGGAGGGTGGGGGAGAAAAGCATTATCCATGGGGAAGATAGGCTTCATTTTGCTTTTTTTTTTAAAGGAAAAAAAGGCTGAACATCTCAGACCCAAACTCGGAACATTCGTAGCACAGCAGTGGAAAAATACCAAGCTTTTGCATTCACACCCAGGCATGGCTGGAGAAAAACCACACACTTCATTCAAACATGTAAGGGGAGTGAGGGAGAGGAAACTCTGCGTCTTCTTTGGGGGGGGGTGTCTTTCTGCGACTTGCACAGCTCCATCGAGAAGCACCAAAGGCTGTGAGAAAATGAAGCATGACTCCACAGGCTCTCTTTTCATTCTGCGTTCGTGAAAATTTGTGCTCATGGTTGTATTGTGGTTGGTTATAACGCCACTTTCCCTCCTGTTTGCACTTTAAAAGGTTTTGCACCCTGCGTCGTGTCTAATTGGAACGTGCCCTGCAGCTTCCTGCTGAAATCCGGTAACTTTTCATACCGCAAAACGTTCCGGAGTTTTGTGTTCTGTCCCACTTTTGTTGCTGGCTCTCCTTCCTTTTGGAGGTTTTTAAGCAGAGGCTGGATGGCCATCTGTCAAGGGTGCTTTAAGCTGAGATGCCCTGCGCTGCAGCGGTTGGACTAGATGACCCTCGGGTTCCCTTCCAACAATTCTATGATTCTAGGAAGAGCGCCCCTACAGGTGGCAATAATGGGGAAGCCTCACAGGACAAGCGGAATGACATGCGGGCAGGGCAGTATAAATCCAGTAGAGATCCACCACTAAGTGACCATTATAGCATCAATGACATGTTACTGAATACACATGCCAAAAAATAAACAAGTCTAGAGAGGTCCTTACACCAGTGGGGAGAACTTCCTGCTTTTCTCACCCTGCCAGTCTCAGCTCCCCAGTCTTAACCATATGGAGCTAACTGGGTTAGATGGGAGGAGGGTCTTTTCGGTGGTGACCTCCACCCACCCCAAATCATGGAATGCTTCCCCCAGTGAGGCCCGCCTGGTGCCAACATTACTGTCCAAATTTACTCCCAGAGATTCAGGCTGCATACACGCAACACCTTTAAAGCATGTGGCATCCCTGGACACCTTCTGGCACTGTGGTATGCCCGGGGCGGCACTGAAACATACGATCTGGCCATTCCCTATAGTGGCGCCTTTCTGGATGAAAGTCACCGCCTTGGAAAATCCCTAAAGTGGTCAGATACTCATGTGTAAGAAGCCAGAATCAGGCACAGGTCAGCAATAAAACACTGGAGTCAGTGAAGTTAACTCTTTATTCAAAGAAAGAAAACAGTGCAGGCCTAGTGATCACAGCAACTCTTCTCAGCAGGGAACTGTCCCAATGAGGCAGTCACGAGGACGAAAATCCCTGCCTTCCCACTGCTCTCTAAGGCTCCTCCTGCCCGGTTCCTTCCCAAGCAATCTGAGGCTCCGTTGTCTTGTCTCTCTTTGCTCTGCCCTCTTCATACCTCTGCAGGGTCTGGGAGACCAGAGGGGAAGGGAGCTGGTCACAGCAGGAGGAGGAGAGCTCCTCCTCATCTCTGCCTCTTGACCCTTCTGCCTCTGATTCTGGACGGCTCTCTGACATAGCCTCTTCCTGCTCATGAAAGCAAGAGACTCTTAATCTCAGGGTTTGGGGTTCGAGCAAAAAGTCACCTGCATTGCAGGAGGGCGGAATAGATGACCATCGTGGTCCCTCACAACTCTTAAATTCTATGATTCTAAACCCTGCCACCTCTCCTACTGCTGATACTTCCTCCTTGCTGTCTGCTCCCTCTTCTCCCTCTGACCACTGATCGTCATCTTGCCACCAATCCCCTGGCTCTGAGCCTTCTTCCCTTTGGGGTCCCCCAGCTCGTGTCACTCACCACTTCTCTGCATCTACCCAATCCATGACGCCATGCTATATACGCAGTAACATCCCAATGCTCTGGGCCTTGACGGAGGGGCAAAGTTAAGTGGACTCTACATTGGTGGCCAAAAGGCTAGTATTGCAATACTGGAAGGAACATAAATCTTGCTACAACTCTTATCCACTGTTGCAGCCCATGAAAAAGGTACCTTTAGCAGCCGCCAAAAGAGAACAAACACTCGGAACATTTGTGTTCTGTACTTGGAATTGTTTGCAAGATCTGGCCCACAGGCTCTGCTGGAGCCAATTCCCTCCCCCTTTTTCTTCTCTGCCTCTCTCCTTCTCGTTTGGGTGAGGGGCAGGCAAATACTCAGCTGGGCCAAAGGAGGTTTGCAGTCACCTGATCAGCGGGTTGTCAGGGGCCTGTGCGGTGCTTTGCAAGCCC